CACGCCATCAGCTGCAATGGTAGGGTGGGGGACAGAGAGTGTGGGGTGGGGACAGAGAGTGGGGGTGGGGACAGTGTGAGGGTGGGGGACAGAGTGTGGGGGTGGGGACAGAGAGTGTGGGGGTGGGGACAGAGAGTGGGGGTGGGGACAGTGTGAGGGTGGGGGACAGAGTGTGGGGGTGGGGACAGAGAGTGTGGGGGTGGGGACAGTGTGTGAGGGTGGGGTCAGAACGTGTGGGGGTGGAGACAGAATGTGTGGGGGTGGGGACAGAATGTGTGGCGGTGGGGACAGAATGTGTGAGGGTGGGGACAGAACGGTTGGGGGTGGGGACAATATTTGAGGGTGGGGACAGTGTGTGAGGGTGGATATAGTGTGTGAGGGTGGGTACAGTGTGTGAGGGTGGAGACAGTGAGTGAGGGTGGGGACAGCAGCAGTGGTGACCCCACTAATCCCAGTGTGGTTTCAGCAAGCTTTGAAAGAGGCGAGCATTGATGTACACGCCCCAGAGCTGGCTAAAAAAGAAGCTACAGTCAAGATCACGCCGACCACCACAGCCAACGATGTGGTCGACATTTTTGGTGTGGCGTAAGTTTTTTTTTTTCTGTAAAATTTTTGGTCATTTTGTGATACTAGTTTTTTGGTGTCTGTAAAATTGTTGATCTTTTTGATATACTGTACTTGTTAGATTTTTACTTGTAGATATATTTAGCTAGATTTTTGTCCTGGTTCTGAAAACTTAATGCTTGTTGCTAGGCCCTTGTATCTTGTTGCTAGGTCCCTGTATCTTGTTTGCTAGGTCCCTGTATCTTGTTGCTAGGCCCCTGTATCTTGTTGCTAGGCCCCTGTATCTTGTTGCTAGGTCCCTGTATCTTGTTTGCTAGGTCCCTGTATCTTGTTGCTAGGTCCCTGTATCTTGTTTGCTAGGTCCCTGTATCTTGTTTGCTAGGTCCCTGTATCTTGTTTGCTAGGTCCCTGTATCTTGTTGCTAGGTCGCTGTATCTTGTTGCTAAGGTTAAGTGTTTAGTTCAAGTCTATATGAGTTTTAAAGCCTTGAAACCACATTGCAATTGTACAATAGCACAAATGTCTTTGTACGGTAGCACAAATGTCTTTGTATGGTAGCACAAATGTCTTTGTACGGTAGCACTAATGTCTTTGTACAGTAGCACAAATGTCTTTGTATGTTAGCACTAATGTCTTTGTATGGTAGCACTAATGTCTTCCAATGAGATTGTCAGCAGATGTTGTTTTCCAATCTCCAGCACTAAAGTTCACAAAAGGCCGATAACTGAACAACTGGCCAGCCGTGAAAATGATATTTATTATTTGTATGAAGTTGGTGGAAACATTGGTAAGTTATGGGGTGTCTGTGTTTGTGCTTGTGTGTGTGCTTGTGTGCGGCGTCTGCAGAGGCGTAGCGACCCTTCCCGGCGCCCGGGGACATACTTTCAATTTGGCGCCCCCCTCGGGAGCAAAGTTTCGATTTGCACCCCCCCCCTCGAACTTTTCATTTGCACCCCCCTCAAACTTTCGATTTGCACCCCCCCTCGAACTTTTCATTTGCACCCCCCCCTCAAACTTTCAATTTGGCGCCCCCCTAAGGTCGGCGCCCGGGGACATATGTCCCCCCGCCCCCCTCGCTACGCCTCTGGGCGTCTGTGTTTGTGGGGGGCGTCTGTGTTTGTGTGTGCCTAGTCTTTGTGTGTGTATGTGTGTGTGTGTGGGGGGGGGGGGGTGGGTGTCTGTATTTGTGTGTGGTTCATCTGTAATCGTCTAATTTATTGATGTCACCTAGTTGATGTCATGATGTCACATGTCTGATTTCATGTCACATGTCTGATATCATGATGTCCACTGTCTGTTGTCACCTGTTTAATGTCATGATGTCACCTGTCTGATATCATAATGTTACCTGTCTGATGTCATGATGTCACCTGTCTAATGTCATGATGTCACCTGTCTAATGTCATGATGTCATCTGTCACAGCTGAGAGATGTATCGACCCACATGCCAAGGTACTTGACGTGTACAAAATCAACCCAGAAGCTGAGTTCTGTATCCGGCCTAAAAAGGGGAGATAAATCTAACGGAAGGAAAAAATGGCAGTAACTCTTGGCGCACTATGACTATAAGTGAAGTTTGCAGATTAAAAAAAAAAAATTCTCTTGTAGAACATCATGCTGAATAAAAAACTAACTGTTGAATGGATGTAATCGTAATACTCATTAAGGTAGCTTTTAATTAAGGTTAGTCTCCTAAGAATGTTGGTCGCATAAGATTACACTTTGGCCATAATTATCATTAATAAAAGCGGATAAATCAATGATTTTTTTATTCTTAAAATTATTATTTGTGTTTGAATTTGAATTTCAAATTTTTTTTGTAATTATATCACACCCCAACATGTTCAGCTCACAAACTAGTTTGAGTAATTTAACGCGCACAGCTAAACACAACACACGCTTGTATTTTCACCCCCCCCCCCCCTCACAAAGTAGTTTGAGTAATTTAACGCGCACGGCTGAACACAACACACGCTTGTATTTCCCCTCCCCCCCCCCCCCCCTTACAAACACAAGCCTCTTGTGAATTTTGCCCCCACCCCCAACCCCTCTCCTAAAAGCCCTTGTATATTTTGACCTCCCTCACCCATCTGCTAAAGCTCTATGTTTATTTTGACCTCCCCTCTCCCCCACCCTTCTTCTAAAACCCGTTGTGTATTTTGACCCCCCCCTCTCTGCTTCATCAAAACTTTTTGCTGACTTTGGTTAGACCAACAAGTTTTGCTGACTTTGGTTAGACCGACAAGTTTTGCTGACTTTGTTTAGACTGACAAGTTTTGCTGACTTTGGTTAGACCGACAAGTTTTGCTGACTTTGGTTAGACCGACAAGTTTTGCTGACTTTGTTTAGACTGACAAGTTTTGCTGACTTTGGTTAGACCGACAAGTTTTGCTGACTTTGTCAGTGGTTAGACCGACAAGTTTTGCTGACTTTGGTTAGACCGACAAGTTTTGCTGACTTTGGTTAGACTGACAAGTTTTGCTGACTTTGGTTAGACCGACAAGTTTTGCTGACTTTGGTTAGACCGACAAGTTTTGCTGACTTTGTTTAGACTGACAAGTTTTGCTGACTTTGGTTAGACCGACAAGTTTTGCTGACTTTGTCAGTGGTTAGACCGACAAGTTTTGCTGACTTTGGTTAGACCGACAAGTTTTGCTGACTTTGGTTAGACTGACAATTTTTGCTGACTTTGGTTAGACCGACAAGTTTTGCTGACTTTGTCAGTGGTAAGACCGACAAGTTTTGCTGACTTTGGTTAGACCGACAAGTTTTGCTGACTTTGTCAGCGGTAAGACCGACAAGTTTTGCTGACTTTGGTTAGACTGACAAGTTTTGCTGACTTTGTCAGTGGTAAGACTGACAAGTTTTGCTGACTTTGGTTAGACCGACAAGTTTTGCTGACTTTGGTTAGACCGACAAGTTTTGCTGATTTTGGTTAGACCGACAAGTTTTGCTGACTTTGTCAGTGGTAAGACCGACAAGTTTTGCTGACTTTGGTTAGACCGACAAGTTTTGCTGACTTTGTCAGTGGTAAGACCGACAAGTTTTGCTGACTTTGGTTAGACTGACAAGTTTTGCTGACTTTGTCAGTGGTAAGACTGATAAGTTTTGCTGACTTTGGTTAGACCGACAAGTTTTGCTGACTTTGTCAGCGGTAAGACCGACAAGTTTTGCTGACTTTGGTTAGACTGACAAGTTTTGCTTACTTTGTCAGTGGTAAGACTGACAAGTTTTGCTGACTTTGGTTAGACCGACAAGTTTTGCTGACTTTGGTTAGACCGACAAGTTTTGCTGACTTTGGTTAGACCGACAAGTTTTGCTGACTTTGTCAGTGGTAAGACCGACAAGTTTTGCTGACTTTGGTTAGACCGACAAGTTTTGCTGACTTTGTCAGTGGTAAGACCGACAAGTTTTGCTGACTTTGGTTAGACTGACAAGTTTTGCTGACTTTGTCAGTGGTAAGACCGACAAGTTTTGCTGACTTTGGTTAGACCGACAAGTTTTGCTGACTTGACAATTGTTGAAATTATAATGTAGCAAGAGATTGAATCTTAGATTAATTTACATAATTGATCTTGTAGTAGGGCATGTGTAGATTAGGGCACATCGAAATAAGATATAACAGACGATGTATGGACATCTCACGTAGTAGAGTAGGTGAAATAATTATGTTTTACTGATAGTTGTATAAGGCAACAATGCAAACAGTTTGAAAAAGAGAATAAAAAACTGAGTACAATTAAGGGGAAAATTATGAAATTTTTATTTTGAATTTTCCATTAATATATTTTTTAACATTTGTATAAAAGGCGACATTTGCTTCAGGAAAAATGATTTTCTTGAAAGTCAAAAAATGTTCATTGTTTTATGAATAAATTATAAAAATACTTTTCCCTAAATCTTGTATGTAGGTATAAAAAAAGTTTTAAAATTGAGTGAAATGGAAGCAAAAGACAGGCTGTAGTTCTGTTGTCCCTAAATGTTGGCGCTTAAAGTTATCACCAGCAAATGTCCAACATGTGTCCATTAGCAAATGTCCAACATGTGTCCACCAGCAAATGTCCAACATGTGTCCACCAGCAAATGTCCAAAATGTGTCCATTAGCAAATGTCCAACATGTGTCCATTAGCAAATGTCCACCAGCAAATGTCCAACATGTGTCCATTAGCAAATGTCCACCAGCAAATGACCAACATGTGTCCATTAGCAAATGTCCAACATGATTCCACCAGCAAATGACCAACATGTGTCCATTAGCAATTATCCAACATGTGTCCACCAGCAAATGTCCAACATGTGTCCACAAGCAAATGTCCAACATGTGTCCATTAGCAAATGTCCAACATGTGTCCATTAGCAAATGTCAAACATGTGTCCATTAGCAAATGTCCAACATGTGTCCATTAGCAAATGTCAAACATGTGTTATTAGCAAATGTCCACCAGCAAATGACCAACATGTGTCCACAAGCAAATGTCCAACATGTGTCCATTAGCAAATGTCCAACATGTGTCCACAAGCAAATGTCCAACATGTGTCCATTAGCAAATGTCCAACATGTGTCCACAAGCAAATGTCCAACATGTGTCCATTAGCAAATGTCCAACATGTGTCCATTAGCAAATGTCCAACATGTGTCCATTAGCAAATGTCCAACATGTGTCCATTAGCAAATGTCCAACATGTGTCCAGCAGCAAATGTCCAACATGTGTCCATTAGCAAATGCCCAACATGTGTCCACTAACAAATGTCTATCGGCCAAATCGTGGCTCGATAACGAACTCGGCTTTGGGATTTATCTTGTAGACGTCCAGGACTTTGGCCCACGGGTCGATTCTACGGGAACCTGGAACAAACGTTCGCTCAGTAGTCAAAGTGACTAAACACAGATACAGGTATGATCTCACATTAGTCAAAGGAACTACACCCAAATAAATGTATGATCTCATATTAGTCAGTGACTACACAGAGATTGGATGCAACCATCCATCAATAATTGGCCTACCATGTTAGTTTTACAATAATATCAAAGAAAGTCTGCGTCATGCTGACATCAGTAATGACCTATGCTGAATGACATCAGAAATTACCTATGCTGAATGACATCAGAAATGACCTATGCTGAATGACATCAGTAATAACCTACCTAAGTCTGTGACATGTTGAATGACATCAGAAATGACCTATGCTGAATGACATCAGAAATGACCTATGCTGAATGACATCAGTAATGACCTACCTAAGTCTGTGACATGTTGAATGACATCAGAAATGACCTATGCTGAATGACATCAGAAATGACCTATGCTGAATGACATCAGTAATGACCTACCTAAGTCTGTGACATGTTGAATGACATCAGAAATGACCTACGCTGAATGACATCAGTAATGACCTGATGCTGAATGACATCAGTAATGACCTGATGCTGAATGACATCAGTAATGACCTGATGCTGAATGACATCAGTAATGACCTGATGCTGAATGACATCAGTAAGGAACTGATGCTGAATGACATCAGTAATGACCTATGTTGAATGACACCAGTAATGACCTACCTAAGTCTGTGACATGCTGAATGACATCAGAAATGACCTACCTAAGTCTGTGACATGCTGAATGACATCAGAAATGACCTACCTAAGTCTGTGACATGCTGAATGACATCAGAAATGACCTACCTAAGTCTGTGACATGCTGAATGACATCAGAAATGACCTACCTATGTTGCCGCCCTTCTCATGCAGGTAACTAAATCTCTTGTGGCAGTGACCTACCTATGTTGCCGCCCTTCTCATGCAGGTAACTAAATCTCTTGTGGCAGTGACCTACCTATGTTGCCACCCTTCTCATGCAGGTAACTAAATCTCTTGTGGCAGTGACCTACCTATGTTGCCCCCCTTCTCATGCAGGTAACTAAATCTCTTGTGGCAGTGACCTACCTATGTTGCCGCCCTTCTCATGCAGGTAACTAAATCTCTTGTGGCAGTAACCTACCTATGTTGCCGCCCTTCTCATGCAGGTAACTAAATCTCTTGTGGCAGTGACCTACCTATGTTGCCCCCCTTCTCATGCAGGTAACTAAATCTCTTGTGGCAGTGACCTACCTATGTTGCCCCCCTTCTCACGCAGGTAACTAAATCTCTTGTGGCAGTGACCTACCTATGTTGCCCCCTTTCTCATGCAGGTAACTAAATCTCTTGTGGCAGTGACCTACCTATGTTGCCACCCTTTTCATGCAGGTAACTAAATCTCTTGTGGCAGTGACCTACCTATGTTGCCGCCCTTCTCATGCAGGTAACTAAATCTCTTGTGGCAGTGACCTACCTATGTTGCCGCCCTTCTCATGCAGGTAACTAAATCTCTTGTGGCAGTGACCTACCTATGTTGCCGCCCTTCTCATGCAGGTAACTAAATCTCTTGTGGCAGTGACCTACCTATGTTGCCGCCCTTCTCATGCAGGTAACTAAATCTCTTGTGGCAGTAACCTACCTATGTTGCCGCCCTTCTCATGCAGGTAACTAAATCTCTTGTGGCAGTGACCTACCTATGTTGCCCCCCTTCTCATGCAGGTAACTAAATCTCTTGTGGCAGAACTCCAGGCTCTTGGGGGAATAACGGCTGTCACTCAGTTCTTTCATCATCTTGACTTTGCTGGAACAATACAATAGTCACCTGACACGTGTCTCTGGTCACGTGTCTCTGGTCACGTGTCTCTGGTCACGTGTCTCTAGTCACGTGTCTCTAGTCACGTGTCTCATACACTGGTCACGTGTCTCTCATCACGTGTCTCTCATCACGTCACTAAATGTTCACTTTATAATAGACTTTTTACACTTTGTTTGACACATAACATATTCAAATAACTAACAAAAATGAAGTCTAGGAGAGGGGGGGGGGGTGGCAGAATTTTGCATCGGCGAACTACATGGAGGAGAGGGAGGGGTGCGTTTAGAAATGTCACGCGCACATTGAAAAATGTGATTATTTCAGTTGAAATTATGGTTACTTTAATATATCAACCAAATGGTTAACTTATAAACCGTACAGTTTACACCCACAGTTGTGAACGACAACTTTAATCGTTGATGTGGCGGTGTACAGTTATCAGTGTGTGCCCTAGTGCAGTTGAAGTAGAGTTCATCTTTTCTTTGACCTTTCTTTCTATGTCGTGTCAGCACTATGCCCAGCCACCTTCTCCCTAACCTTTGTCAGGTTCCCATCAGAACCGAGTGTCATGATGTCATCTGATGTCAGGATGTCACCTGTCTGATGTCATGATGTTCAGCTCAATTCTCTGATCACGTGTTCAGCTCAATTCTCTGACCACGTGTTCAGCTCAATTCTCTGATCACGTGTTGAGCTCAATTCTCTGACCACGTGTTGAGCTCAATTCTCTATCACGTGTTGAGCTCAGTTCTCTATCACGTGTTGAGCTCAATTCTCTGATCACGTGTTGAGCTCAGATCTCTGACCACGCCTGGTATATTTCAGACCGTAGATGACGTCACTTACGTTTCAAAATGGCAGACGACGTCGATAGCTGTTGTCTTCTCGTTAATTTGTACCGGGCCTTCTTTCTTGGGCAGGTGAGGCGCCTTCACTATGATCTCAGCTTTTTTCAGTCCTCGCTAAGTCGACGGCAACATTTTTTTTAATGCATAAAAAAAACGTTTTAATAACAAGCTTTTATGAAATAATGCACTAAAGAGGAGAAAAATAAATAATCTTCTTTAAAAATGTGATAATACCCTTCAATTTAAATAACCAAAAAGAAAAACGTGTATCGCTTCTTAAATTTTTGTAAAGGTATTCAATAAATAATACAGTGACCCGCGCTTTTCTGTATTGGTATTTAAACAGTAGTGTTTTATTATAATAATATATTTAAAGAAAATCATTTATTTTCTCCTTTTTAGCGCATCATTACATAAAAGCTTGTTATTAAAACGTTTTTATGCATTTTTTTAGTACTTTAAATTTGTTTTAATACAAGAGAGTTGCTTGACTAAAAACTGTCGCGCACCAAATGATAGCGTATAATAATTCATAAAAAAATTAGTTAGGCATCCAATTAAGTCAAATTTGATGTCAGATTGCATTGTAATTGGGCCTTGACCCACTTGCCAAGTTTGAAACGAATCGGTCAGTTACAAGTGATCGAAATTCGCTCGTCAGTTTCGATCTATGAACGACTAGGAACTAGGGTAAATAAAAGCTTGTAAAAAACGCATTTTGAAAATCTCATTCTAAAAAAATTGTTTTTTCAAATTATTTTGTAACAAAATTAATTATGATCTGACACTTTTTTTACAACACGTTAAAACTAAATGAATAATTTAAAAAAGTATCGCTAATTGTGGGCTTTTGTTTTAAAAAACTTAAAGTATTGTTTTTATAAATAAATAAAATAAATATATATATATATATATATATATATATATATATATATATATATATATATATATATATAGTGTCTCTACACCATGCCCAATGAATACACCATGCCCAATATGTACACCATGCCCAATATGTACACCATGCCCAATATGTACACAATACCAAAATGTACTCACTACACTTTCGTCTGGCTTCGCCTGAACACCATCAAACTTATCTTTAGAAGTCCACGGCTGAAGGGAACAAAGGCAATATACATATATATATATATATATATATATATATATATATATATATATATATATATATACATATATATATATATATATATATATATATATATATACATATATATATATATATATATATATATATATATATATATATATATATATATATATATATATATATATATATATATATACATGTATATATATATGTGTATATACATATATATATATATATATATATATATATATATATATATATATATATATATATATATATATATATATATATATATATATATATATATATATATATATATATATATATATATATATATATAACAATGTCGTTCAAATAACGACTGTGTGTCTATGTCTTGTCAAGCTGTGTCTAAGTCGTGTCTAGCTGTGTCTATGTCGTGTCTATGTCATGTCTATGCCGTGTCTATATCATGTCTACAACTGACCTTCTTGGATAGCTGGACTGTCTATGTCTTGTCTATGTCGTGTCTAGCCGCGTCTATGTCGTGTCTATATCGTGTCTACAACTGACCTTCTTGGATGGCTGGACTGTCTATGTCGTGTCTATGTCGTGTCTATGCCGTGTCTATGTCGTGTCTATGTCGTGTCCACAACTGACCTTCTTGGATGGCTGGACTGTCTATGTCGTGTCTATGTCGTGTCTATGTCGTGTCTATATCGTGTCTACAACTGACCTTCTTGGATGGCTGGACTGTCTATGTCTTGTCTATGTCGTGTCTATATTGTGTCTATGTCGTGTCTATGTCGTGTCTATGTCGTGTCTATATCGTGTCTACAACTGACCTTCTTGGACGGCTTGACTGTCTATGTCGTGTCTATGTCGTGTCTACAACTGACCTTCTTGGATGGCTGGACTGTCTATGTCGTGTCTATGTCGTGTCTATATCGTGTCTATGTCGTGTCTATGTCGTGTCTATGTCGTGTCTATGTCGTGTCTATATCGTGTCTACAACTGACCTTCTTGGACGGCTGGACTGTCTATGTCGTGTCTATATCGTGTCTACAACTGACCTTCTTGGACGGCTGGACTGTCTATGTCGTGTCTATGTCGTGTCTACAACTGACCTTCTTGGATGGCTGGACTGTCTATGTCGTGTCTATGTCATGTCTATATCGTGTCCACAACTGACCTTCTTGGACGGCTTGACTGTCTATGTCGTGTCTATGTCGTGTCTACAACTGACCTTCTTGGATGGCTGGACTGTCTATGTCGTGTCTATGTCGTGTCTATATCGTGTCTATGTCGTGTCTATGTCGTGTCTATGTCGTGTCTATGTCGTGTCTATGTCGTGTCTATGTCGTGTCCACAACTGACCTTCTTGGACGGCTGGACTGTCTATGTCGTGTCTATGTCGTGTCTACAACTGACCTTCTTGGACGGCTGGACTGTCTATGTCGTGTCTATGTCGTGTCTACAACTGACCTTCTTGGATGGCTGGACTGTCTATGTCATGTCTATGTCGTGTCTATGTCGTGTCTACAACTGACCTTCTTGGATGGCTGGACTGTCTATGTCGTGTCTATGTCATGTCTATATCGTGTCCACAACTGACCTTCTTGGACGGCTTGACTGTCTATGTCGTGTCTATGTCGTGTCTACAACTGACCTTCTTGGATGGCTGGACTGTCTATGTCGTGTCTATGTCGTGTCTATATCGTGTCTATGTCGTGTCTATGTCGTGTCTATGTCGTGTCTATGTCGTGTCTATGTCGTGTCTATGTCGTGTCCACAACTGACCTTCTTGGACGGCTGGACTGTCTATGTCGTGTCTATGTCGTGTCTACAACTGACCTTCTTGGACGGCTGGACTGTCTATGTCGTGTCTATGTCGTGTCTACAACTGACCTTCTTGGATGGCTGGACTGTCTATGTCGTGTCTATGTCGTGTCTATGTCGTGTCTACAACTGACCTTCTTGGACGGCTGGACTGTCTATGTCGTGTCTATGTCGTGTCTACAACTGACCTTCTTGGACGGCTGGACTGTCTATGTCGTGTCTATGTCGTGTCTACAACTGACCTTCTTGGATGGCTGGACTGTCTATGTCGTATCTATGTCGTGTCTATGTCGTGTCTATATCGTGTCCACAACTGACCTTCTTGGACGGCTGGACTGTCTATGTCGTGTCTATGTCGTGTCTATGTCGTGTCTATGTCGTGTCTATGTCGTGTCTATGTCGTGTCTATGTCGTGTCTACAACTGACCTTCTTGGACGGCTGGACTGTCTATGTCGTGTCTATGTCGTGTCTATGTCATGTCTATATCGTGTCCACAACTGACCTTCTTGGACGGCTGGACTGTCTATGTCGTGTCTATGTCGTGTCTATGTCGTGTCTATGTCGTGTCTACAACTGACCTTCTTGGACGACTGGACTGAAGCTTTACCCGACATGTACAGCCAGCGCACCTGGTTGACAATCTGTGGGGACACCTGCGGTACACGGGGAAGGTAGGGGTCAGACTAGGGGTCAGAGAGTAGGGGTCAGACTAGGGGTCAGACTAGGGGTCAGACTAGGGGTCAGAGATTAGGGGTCAGTAGAGAGAGTAGGGGTCAGTAGAGAGAGTGGGGGTCAGCAGAGATACTAGGGGTCAGCGGACATAGAGGTTAGCAGCCATAGGTGTTAATGGACATAAGGGTCAGTTAAACAAACAATTGCCTCACCCGCCAACAAAAAGTCGCCAACAAACAGTCGTCAACAGACAGTCGCCAACAAAAAGTCGCCAACAAAAAGTCGCCAACAAAAAGTCGCCAACAAACAGTCGCCAATAAACAGCCGCCAACAAAAAGTCGCCAACAAAAAGTCGCCAACAAAAAGTCGCCAACAAAAAGTCGCCAACAAACAGTCGCCAATAAACAGTCGCCAACAAAAAGTCGCCAACAAAAAGTCGCCAACAAAAAGTCGCCAACAAGCAGTCGCCAACAAACAGTCGCCAACAAAAAGTCGCCAACAAAAAGTCGCCAACGTACTGTCCACAGCTTGTCCATATAGTCCATGTAAAGACGGCCAATGAGGATGGAATTTTTCAGCCGATCCTCTCCGTCCCCCTGGAACTTGCCGGGTGTATGGAGGACGTCCTTCAACTTCGTGGCCACCTGAACAGACGGCCTGTCCCCCTCGTCTTGTTTGTGCTCAGACAGGTCCGGGTAACACGTCATTAGTTCCCGGTAACATAAATAACATATCGCCTGGGGATAAATAACATATCGCCTGGGGATAAATAACATATCGCCTGGGGATAAATAACATATCGCCTGGGGATAACTTGATGTTGGGGCGGGGGGGGGGGGGTGTTCCAGTTCCAGAATTCGCAATTTGTTGTGTACGGAATTCTCTGGTGTGTACACCTGCTTGTACCACCCTACATGTACATCTACCTGTGTATTTGACGGCTATACATCTACCTGTGTATTTGACGGTTATACATCTACCTGTGTATTTGACGGTTATACATCTACCTGTGTATTTGACGGTTATACATCTACCTGTGTATTTGACGGTTATACATCTACCTGTGTATTTGACGGTTATACATCTACCTGTGTATTTGACGGTTATACATCTACCTGTGTATTTGACGGCTATACATCTACCTGTGTATTTGACGGTTATACATCTACCTGTGTATTTGACGGCTATACATCTACCTGTGTATTTGACGGCTATACATCTACCTGTGTATTTGACGGCTATACATCTACCTGTGTATTTGACGGCTATACATCTACCTGTGTATTTGACGGCTATACATCTACCTGTGTATTTGACGGCTGCCACTAACGACCTACCTGGATAGTGTCTTGGTGCTCTCGGCGCATCATCAGGTACATGTAGTTCAACACCTGAAGCCGGTGGATGTTCTTCAAACCTGTGAAAAGGTAAACAATGGTCAAATTTTTGGCTAAAATTACATTTATTTATTTGCCGGTGGATGTTCTTCAAACCTGTGAAAAGGTAAACAATGGTCACATTTTTAGGCTAAAATTACATTTATTTTTTTATTCTTTTTTATTTTGGGTCGGGGGGGGGGGGGGGTAGTTAACTATTCTAAGCAACTTTTGCTTGTAAAGTTTTGTATGAACAAATTATTTTTTTTAAGGAAAAATGAAGTGTTTTAAATGTGCATCAAACACACTTTTTTATACTAACACATAAATGTAAAAAAAAAATTCAGCGGAGTTAAAACTGTTTTCAAGCTAGACATTTGTAAACAAACGATCCAAAATGTGTTGAGACGAGTCACGTGCAAACCAAAGTTTGGGGTGGAGGTCCAGTAGCACAAGACACAGGTGTAAAACCCGAACCCTAGTAGTTATAGGACGTCAGTAATGACGTCAGGGGTTCGGTCATGTCATGGACATTTTACGCCGAGTACGTCCGTGTCACAACATTTAAAAAAATATTTTACATTTGTAAAACAAATCAACAGGCGAGTGGGATCTTGAGATAAATAAATGGCATCAGCCTGCAAGCGATGGACGGAAGAATGTCAGACTTACCGGCTACCGGAATGATTATCGCCAGACTTACCGGCTACCGGAATATTGCCAGACTTACTGGCTACCGGAATATTGCCAGACTTACCGGCTACCGGAATATTGCCAGACTTACCGGCTACCGGAATATTGCCAGACTTACCGGCTACCGGAATGATTATCGCCAGACTTACCGGCTACCGGAATATTGCCAGACTTACCGGCTACCGGAATGATTATCGCCAGACTTACCGGCTACCGGAATGATTATCGTCAGACTTACCGGCTACCGGAATGATTATCGCCAGACTTACCGGCTACCGGAATGATTATCGCCAGATTTACCGGCTACCGGAATGATTATCGTCAGACTTACCGGCTACCGGAATGATTATCGCCAGACTTACCGGCTACCGGAATGATTATCGCCAGATTTACCGGCTACCGGATTATCGCCAGACTTACCGGCTACCGGATTATTGCCAGACTTACCGGCTACCGGATTATTGCCAGACTTACCGGCTACCGGAGGGAACTCCTCCAGACGGTCGACGCTCGTCATCTTTTCCGGCAACTCACTGAGGAACCTAACGAGGGCTGCAGCGATGACCTGAGGCTCGTACTTGTCCAGCCTAAACCTCCCAGAGTAGTAGTTGTCGTTGGCGTCTTTTTTAAACGCCTGCTCAAACACAAATACATATATACATACATACATACATACACACCAAAGTATTGTCAAAGCAAAGTCTAGAGAACACACGTACACGTACACGTACACGTACACACAAACACAAACACACATACACATATACACACATATCAAAGTCTCATTCTTCAAATACATAATAATACACACTCTCAACTATACCAATACACAACTATACCAGCAAACAATTATGCATACAGACAATCGTACACACGGGGACAATCACACAATCATCCAATCAGCAGCCGCCTTACATTTGTATCGACGCCAGAAGGATTGAACATCTCTCCCCGAACATCGTCGCCCTCAACGCTGTCAAGGTAGAGGATCATCTAGAGGAACGGTGGAGGCATCAGTAACAGCTGGGCATTTTCGTTGATGTTAAGGGTGGGTGGGTGGGGGAGTAGGAGGGTGTACCGGTGGAGGCATCAGTTACAGCCTGGCATTTTACGTGATGTTAAGGGTGGGTGGGTGGGGGAGTAGGGGGGTGAACCGGTGAAGGCATCAGTTACAGCCGGGCATTTTCGTTGATGTTAAGGGTGGGTGGGTGGGGGAGTAGGAGGGTGTACCGGTGGAGGCATCAGTTACAGCTGGGCATTTTCAGTGATGTTAGGGGTGGGGGGGGTGGGGGAGTAGGAGGGTGTACGCGGGGGGGGGGGGAAGGACAAAAGTTGTGTGGAGGAACCGGTGGAGGCATCAGTTACAGCCGGGCATTTTCAGTGATGTTAAGGGTGAGTGGGTGGGGGAGTAGGAGGGGGGGGGGGGCAAAAATCGTGTTGACGAAGGGTGTGGGAAACGGTTGGGATAGGGACTAGGGTTCTTAATTCTAGTGTTAGAAGAGATTCCTTCCTCAACAATTGGGCCTTACATGTCAACGTGTTATGCGTTGACTCAGTTTTTAGCATGCTTTTATTTTATTTGCTTCCATAGCCTTTGTCCAACACATTTGTTTAATTTGGGAGTTTTTTTCTTTTAGACGGGTTGGTGTCACCAGCCTCGTCTGCCTGGTGTTCGAACTCGAGACTTTTCGGTTCAGCAAACATGAGCTTTACCGACATACTAACCTCCGTCTCTAGTTAGAACTATTTATTTCAGCTGATTACTGCAACACGTTCATAAGATATATGTATGTGTATGTAGGTTTGTTACACCATACGACCAAGACATTACGAGGGTCACCAGTCGTCACAAGCTCACCTCTGTAAGGAAACATGGACTCAGGAATGGGCCGAACTTTTTCCCCATTTTGATATCATGCTCCACAATACTGGCTAGACTGGAGCCGTAGAGCTGTTGAACTAAAAGTTACAGCTGTTGAACTAAAAGTTACAGCCGTACAGCTGTTGAACTAAAAGTTACAGCCGTACAGCTGTTGAACTAAAAGTTACAGCTGTTGAACTAAAAGTTACAGCCGTACAGCTGTTGAACTAAAAGTTACAGCTGTTGAACTAAAAGTTACAGCTGTTGAACTAAAAGTTACAGCTATTGAACTAAAAGTTACAGCTGTTGAACTAAAAGTTACAGCTGTTGAACTAAAAGTTACAGCTATTGAACTAAAAGTTACAGCTGTTGAACTAAAAGTTACAGCTATTGAACTAAAAGTTACAGCTGTTGAACTAAAAGTTACAGCTGTTGAACTAAAAGTTACAGCTGTTGAACTAAAAGTTACAGCTGTTGAACTAAAAGTTACAGCTGTTGAACTAAAAGTTACAGCCGTACAGCTGTTGAACTAAAAGTTACAGCTGTCGAACTAAAAGTTACAGCTGTTGAACTAAAAGTTACAGCTGTTGAACTAAAAGTTACAGCTGTACAGCTGTTGAACTAAAAGTTACAGCTGTTGAATTAAAAGTTACAGCTGTTGAATTAAAAGTTACAGCTGTTGAACTAAAAGTTACAGCTGTTGAACTAAAAGTTACAGTTGTTGAACTAAAAGTTACAGCTGTTGAACTAAAAGTTACAGCTGTTGAACTAAAAGTTACACACAAAGTCCACACACAAAACCCACACACAAAGTCCACACACAAAGTCCACACACACAGTCCACACACACAGTCCACACACACAGTCCACACACACAATCCACACACAGAGTCCACACACACAGTCCACACACAAAGTCCACACACAGAGTCCACACACACAGTCCACACACAAAGTCCACAAAGTCCACACACAAAGCCCACATACAAAGCCCACACACAAAGTCCACACACAAAGCCCACATACAAAGTCCACACACACAGTCCACACACAAAGCCCACACACAAAAACCACCCACAAAGCCCACACACAAAGTCCACACACAAAGCCCACACACAAAGCCCACACACAAAGCCCACACACAAAGTCCACACACAAAGCCCACCCACAAAGCCCACACACAAAGTCCACACACAAAGTCCACACACAAAGCCCACACACAAAGCCCACACACAAAGTCCACACACAAAGCCCACACACAAAGTCCATTCACAAAGTCCACACAAAGTCCACACACAAAGCCCACACACAAAAACCACACACAAAGCCCACACACAAAGCCCACACACAAAAACCACACACAAAGCCCACACACAAAGCCCACACACAAAAACCACACACAAAGCCCACACACAAAGCCCACACACAAAGTCCATTCACAAAGTCCACACAAAGTCCACACACAAAGCCCACACACAAAAACCACACACAAAGCCCACACACAAAGCCCACACACAAAGCCCACACACAAAAACCACACACAAAGCCCACACACAAAGCCCACACACAAAAACCACACACAAAGTCCACACACAAAGCCCACACACAAAAACCACACACAAAGTCCACACACAAAGCCCACACACAAAAACCACACACAAAGCCCACACACAAAGCCCACACACAAAGCCCACACACAAAGTCCACACACAAAGCCCACACACAAAGTCCACACACAAAGTCCACACACAAAGCCCACACACACAGTCCACACACACAGTCCACACACAGCCCACACACACACAGCCCACACACAAAGCCCACACACAAAGTCCACACACAAAGCCCACACACAAAGTCCACACACAAAGTCCACACACAAAGCCCACACACACAGTCCACACACACAGTCCACACACAGCCCACACACACACAGCCCACACACAAAGCCCACACACAACGTCCACACACAAAGTCCACACACAGCCCACACACACAGTCCACACACAAAGCCCACACACAAAGTCCACACACAAAGCCCACACACAAAGCCCACATTGACAAACGACCACCACTACACACGATGCTTACACTTATGATCTTTCATGCCCTTCCTTTTGTGGTACGGGATGCGGAACTTGTCGAGGAGAGCCTTCAGCTCCTGGTAGGCTATCTGTTGGACAATGGCCGCGTCTTGTTGGCCAAGGTCATGGATGTAGGTCACGCCTGTGTCGTCTTGGGGCGGGACGTACGACTGTGAACAAAACATTGTTAACATAACGTTGTTAACGAAATAATGTTAACATAACGTTGTTAACGAAATAATGTTAACAAAACGTTGTTTACAAAATAATGTTAACAAAATAATGTTAACAAAATAATGTTTACAAAATAATGTTTACAAAATAATGTTTACAAAATAATGTTAATAAAATAATGTTAACAAAACGTTTTTAACAAAACGTTGTAAACAAAACGTTGTTAACAAAATAATGTTCACAAAATACTGTTTATAAGATAATGTTTACAACATAAGGTTAACAAAATAAAAATGACAAAATCATGTTTACAAAATAATGTTTACACATTAGAGTAATGGTTAGGTCCATGACACCATTAAAGGTTAGGTCCATGACACCATTAGAGGTTAGGTCCATGACACCATTAGAGGTTAGGTCCATGACACCATTAGAGGTTAGGTCTATGACACCATTAGAGGTTAGGTCTATGACACCATTAGAGGTTAGGTCCATGACACCATTAGAGGTTAGGTCCATGACAGCATTAGAGGTTAGGTCCATGACACCATTAGAGGTTAGGTCCATGACACCATTAGAGGTTAGGTCCATGACACCATTAGAGGTTAGGTCCATGACACCATTAGAGGTTAGGTCCATGACACCATTAGAGGTTAGGTCCATGACACCATTAGAGGTTAGGTCCATGACACCATTAGAGGTTAGGTCCATGACACCATTAGAGGTTAGGTCTATGACACCATTAGAGGTTAGGTCCATGACACCATTAGAGGTTAGGTCCATGACACCATTAGAGGTTAGGTCCATGACAACATTAGAGGTTAGGTCCATGACACCATTAGAGGTTAGGTCCATGACAGCATTAGAGGTTAGGTCCATGACACCATTAGAGGTTAGGTCCATGACACCATTAGAGGTTAGGTCCATGACACCATTAGAGGTTAGGTCCATGACACCATTAGAGGTTAGGTCTATGACACCATTAGAGGTTAGGTCCATGACACCATTAGAGGTTAGGTCCATGACACCATTAGAGGTTAGGTCCATGACACCATTAGAGGTTAGGTCCATTACACCATTAGAGGTTAGGTCCATGACAACATTAGAGGTTAGATCAATGACACCATTAGAGGTTAGGTCTATGACACCATTAGAGGTTAGGTCCATGACACCATTAGAGGTTAGGTCCATGACACCATTAGAGGTTAGGTCCATGACAGCATTAGAGGTTAGGTCCATGACACCATTAGAGGTTAGGTCCATGACACCATTAGAGGTTAGGTCCATGACACCATTAGAGGTTAGGTCCATGACACCATTAGAGGTTAGGTCCATGACAGCATTAGAGGTTAGGTCCATGACACCATTAGAGGTTAGGTCCAGAACACCATTAGAGGTTAGGTCCATGACACCATTAGAGGTTAGGTCCATGACACCATTAGAGGTTAGGTCCATGACAGCATTAGAGGTTAGGTCCATGACACCATTAGAGGTTAGGTCCATGACACCATTAGAGGTTAGGTCCATGACACCATTAGAGGTTAGGTCTATGACACCATTAGAGGTTAGGTCCATGACACCATTAGAGGTTAGGTCCATGACACCATTAGAGGTTAGGTCCATGACAACATTAGAGGTTAGGTCCATGACACCATTAGAGGTTAGGTCCATGACAGCATTAGAGGTTAGGTCCATGACACCATTAGAGGTTAGGTCCATGACACCATTAGAGGTTAGGTCCATGACACCATTAGAGGTTAGGTCTATGACACCATTAGAGGTTAGGTCCATGACACCATTAGAGGTTAGGTCCATGACACCATTAGAGGTTAGGTCCATGACACCATTAGAGGTTAGGTCCATTACACCATTAGAGGTTAGGTCCATGACAACATTAGAGGTTAGATCAATGACACCATTAGAGGTTAGGTCTATGACACCATTAGAGGTTAGGTCCATGACACCATTAGAGGTTAGGTCCATGACACCATTAGAGGTTAGGTCCATGACAGCATTAGAGGTTAGGTCCATGACACCATTAGAGGTTAGGTCCATGACACCATTAGAGGTTAGGTCCATGACACCATTAGAGGTTAGGTCCATGACACCATTAGAGGTTAGGTCCATGACACCATTAGAGGTTAGGTCCATGACACCATTAGAGGTTAGGTCCATGACACCATTAGAGGTTAGGTCCATGACACCATTAGAGGTTAGGTCCATGACACCATTAGAGGTTAGGTCCATGACACCATTAGAGGTTAGGTCCATGACACCATTAGAGGTTAGGTCCATGACACCATTAGAGGTTAGGTCCATGACACCATTAGAGTTTAGGTCCATGACACCATTAGAGGTTAGGTCCATGACACCATTAGAGGTTAGGTCCATGACAGCATTAGAGGTTAGGTCCATGACACCATTAGAGGTTAGGTCCATGACAGCATTAGAGGTTAGGTCCATGACACCATTAGAGGTTAGGTCCACGACACCATTAGAGATTAGGTCCATGACACCATTAGAGGTTAGGTCCATGACACCATTAGAGGTTAGATCAATGACACCATTAGAGGTTAGATCAATGACACCATTAGAGGTTAGGTCCATGACACCATTAGAGGTTAGATCAATGACACCATTAGAGGTTAGGTCCATGACACCATTAGAGGTTAGGTCCATGACACCATTAGAGGTTAGGTCCATGACACCATTAGAGGTTAGGTCCGTGACTAAATGACCAAACTTACTGAAGGAACATCGCAGTAGCCAGCCGATGGTACCCAGCATGTGTTGGACACACCAGGCTTCAGCGCTTGTTTTAAAACTGCGAGACCTCCTGTCCGGCACTGACCAAACAAGCCTCGTGTCTGGCACTGTAGACCGTTCCAGTACTTCAAGCTTTTAGCAGACGTCACGTGCTGGAAATAGCCAATTAATAAAACAAACGCGTGAATAAATGGTATATGGTTATTTCTTGTGACCCTAAGAAAATGTCCCTAAACATATTTAATTTATCTAATTTATCAACAACAAAAAAACACTTTGTAAAACATTTGTCATCTAGAATTGCTACCCAGGAAGGAACCAGAAAGTTTTAACTCCATTTTTAAAAACAATTGTTCACAGTAAAGTTTTCAAGTATATTAAACAATTGGTGAAATGAAATGGTATGAGCAATTGTTAAGAAATGTTCGGTGGATCTAGAGCATAACGGCAATAAATATTTTTAAAAAAACAAAGAAATTTAAAAAAAATTGTAAATAAAAATGTCTACAGTTTCCAAAGTAGCTTACCTTTTCCAGATGAGTAGTTTTACAGGTTTCCTGACACTGGTCTGGGAAAAAAAGTTACAAATGTTTCTATCGCCAGATAAATGTTAATCTAGATCTACCACAACATCATGTGATTATAATAATAACAAATCTAAATCTAGGACTAGATCTAGATCTACTTGAATAAAAAACAACCTGGGGTCTAATTTTCTTACTTATGTTGCTGTATGCACGTAGAGAGGCTAAACATCGGCTTGCATCGCTTGAAGAATTCGTTCCGGCTAGAAGATGCCGGCACGATGCCGGACTTATCCGGACGAATGGAACCATAATATTTACGTATCTCATTCTACCCAACAGCAAGGCCGTATCGTATGCGTATCTAAGCTGCTTGTGTTGAAAAAGACAGCACAAAACGGTGACGTCATTAGTGTTTTTGACAGAAATGTATTTCTACGTTGTGGAACATTGGATAAAACAAAAGGTCTATCGGCAGAAAAGCCAATCAGCACCCACGCTCCCCCCCCCCCCACCACAATCCCCCACCCACGCTCAACACCCCCCAATCTCCACACCCACAACCCGTCATTCTCCCCCCCCCCCCCAGTCCCCCCCACAATCCCCCCACCAACACTCAACGCCTCCCCACCAATCTCCAAACTCACAACCCGTCCGTCCCCCCACCAAACACACTAAATCCCCACCCTCACTCAACTCCCCCCCTCCACACACACACATCCCCCCACACACGTACAACCCGCCACCCACTCTCACCCTCTAGCCGTGAAGCTGGTTGTCAGCTATTGAAGCTGTGATACACCTTGCTTGAAGCTGGTCAATTAAAACTTACACACACTCGCTCACTCACTCACTCTCACTCACACACACACTCACTCACACACACACACTCACACACTCTCGCTCACACACACACACACACTCGCTCACTCACTCACTCTCACTCACACACACTCACTCACACACACACACACACACTCGCTCACACACACACACACACACACACACTCACACACACACTCACACACACACTCACACATTCACACACTCACACACACACTCACACACACTCACACTCACACTCACTCACACACTCAAACACTTACTCACACACACACACATATACATACACACACTTACTTACACACACATACACATACACATACACTCTCACTCACACACTCACACAAATACTCACACACATACTCACACACTAACACACATACTCACTCACACACTAACACACACACACACTCACAAACACAGACAATATTGACGGACAAATCTCGATTTTCAATATTTTGCACGATTACCCTACTTCCCCAATACTTGAAAGTAACAAGACCATCATGTAAAATTCTGCACATTGGTGCACATTCAAACTGCACCGAGGGTAATTATAAAAGTAGTCACCCAACAAATACTGGAACAAAACATGCACTTTAAATTTCTTCTATAAAAATTGACTAAGTATAAACAATTTTAATTACGATATCCACTTGGCAAATGGTATATTTAAATCTTTTCGCATTTTTAGTCCACTTAAAAGACCTCCAAAAAAATTGGTTTAGTTGTTTGGGTGTCTATACTTGACTTAGTCAGCAAGACTAACATGACGTCATCAGTTTCTGCGTTCCTTTTTTTTTAAAAAGGAGTAACTTTAGTGTAGTTACGTCAAACTTTTGTTTGCCTATCATAGCCTAAACTAAACATCAACCTTCTTTGCCTAATACGTCTAAATTATAAAGACAGCCGGCAAGTATGGTGCTATTTGTACGGATGTCTGCTGCTCCGGCAACTGTCCGGCATTTTTTGGCCAGGACAAGACTTCTGGTACCAAAGGATGGAAGCCGTCGATTGACTTGTCTTAGCGCCGCTAACGACAGCGGTAAGGAAGTGGCGAGTTTATTCAATCACTGTCGTGTTTTGTTGGTGATGACAGGATGTTTATTCAATCACTGTCGTGTTTTGTTGGTGATGACAGGATGTTTATTCAATCACTGTCGTGTTGTATTGGTGATGACAGGATGTTTATTCAATCACTGTCGTGTTGTATTGGTGATGACAGAATGTTTATTCAATCACTGTCGTGTTTTGTTGGTGATGACAGGATGTTTATTCAATCACTGTCGTGTTGTATTGGTGATGACAGGATGTTTATTCAATCACTGTCGTGTTTTGTTGGTGATGACAGGATGTTTATTCAATCACTGTCGTGTTTTGTTGGTGATGACAGGATGTTTATTCAATCACTGTCGTGTTGTATTGGTGATGACAGGATGTTTATTCAATCACTGTCGTGTTTTGTTGCTACTAAGATGCAGTCTGTGTGTCCAACTACAAAAAATAATGCATTCGTCCGATTTCGTCAAGTAATTTGTTTAACCCTACGTTTGTGTTCTGTGCTGTTAAATTATCAGTATGAAGTATCCGTTTAGGTTTTAGCTATTCCTAAATCTATAATTCTCTGGCGACTAGAACTCAATTTATCTAAATATAAACCTCGTTGGCCCCACAACTGATAGATTTTGTATACTCATACAGGTAGAGATGAACGGGGTTGTGGATTGTTGTATTTTAACATAATTTTGTTAAGTTTCTTCGGAGAATGTTCTCCTTCGCCATGTAACATAGGTACCAGATAATGGTGGTCTAGTAGATAATCGCTAACTTATAACTAGACAAATATAAACCCGATTTAACCATAATCCTAAAGCAGCACTAACATGGCATATTTTGAGGTAGTTAGTCCTCCCATTTATTGGGCCAAAAATCAAGTCATCCCGTTCAATGAGCTAACAATCAAGTGTGATCTAGTGATAAAATAATTTGAAACTTTTTTTCCACAGGTAAGTTGCAGGACCCCTTCTGCCCACCTGAGCTACAGCAGGTAAGTTATCCAAATTTCGCTTTTGTAAACATTTAATTTAAAATAGAACTGGTAAATTAAAAATTAGCGATATCATATAAATTAACTTTTTTAAAAGGTCATTATTATGAAAATCAGTAGATTCAGATTCGTTATTGGCCAGGTGACGAAACTGTACAGAAGGATTTCCTCGCGTAATAAATTAATTTTTAGAAGTGTGACTTGGTTTTCTAAAACATAATTATTCTTGTAAACAATGTTTTTTTATATTTAAGTTGCCCTCCAAAATGTAATTTTTTTTTTTAAGATGTTTTTATGGACAAAGGGAAACAACCATGTTAATATTTTTTGCAAAAAATATTTTAAGCATGGTTAATTCCCCTTATTTTTAAAAAGTCAATAAAATTCCTTTGTCTACTCTATCAAACCTGTCCAATGTGAAAAATTTGTCTACTCTATCAGAACTAATCTTACTCTACCAGACTAACCTAAGACTGACTCTACTTTCAGCATGGGACGTCTGCCAAAAGCTTGAAGTACTGGAACGGTCTACAGTGCCAGACACGAGGCTTGTTTGGTCAGTGCCGGACAGGAGGTCTCGCAGTTTTAAAACAAGCGCTGAAGCCTGGCGTGTCCAACACATGCTGGGTACCATCGGCTGGCTACTGCGACTCGTCTGTTGTAAGTCTTGCTATGATAGTTCATTATTACGGAAAGACCAAAAGACAGATTAGACTTTTTCCGAATACCAATCTAGAGACTAAACTATACCGCAAATAATAATGTAAATGTTTTACGTTTGTAATTTTTAAAAGACTTTTATTTAGCGTTTGCAATATGTTTTTTCATCCTCAAATCTTCAAAAATTTAATTTAAACCACTGGAATTGAATCGGAATTATGCACAGTGGTTTTATTTAATTTTTTTATTTATTTTTTGCTTGAGAATTCTGTTATTCTGATTCTATTCCCATTTGACCCCTGTCCCCAAAACGATCAGTTTTACAACCCCCCACAAGACGAGACTGGGCTTACCTACATCAACGACCTGAGCCCCGAAGACGAGGCTATAGTACAAGCCATAGCCTACCAGGAACTCAAGAGTCTGCTAGACAGGCTTCAAATACCGTACACCAAAAGTGGCGAACCTTCTAGAAAGTGTAGGTATCTGTATAGAGGGTCTTCTATCCAAACCAGGCTCAGTATAAAGTCGGCTAGAGAAGACGTTGATCTTTACTACAGATGTGGACCCACATTTTACTACGATATGTTGTGGGGAAGTCCATGTTCTGTGCATCTGTGTTTTTGTGTATGTGTGCATTTGTGTGTTCGGTGTATGTGTGTGTTCTGTGTATGTGTGTTCTATGTATTTGTGTGTTCTGTGTATGTGTGTGTTATCAGTGTTCTGTGTGTTGGTTTTGGTGTGTTCTATGTATGTGTGTGTTCTGTGTATGTTTATGTTCTGCTAATTTGTGTGTTCTCAGTGTTCTGTGTAATTGTGTGTTCTATATATTTAACATTTTAAAAATCCAAAACTTTGTCTCCACCCCCCCCCCTCACCAGTCAACAAAGTGTTTGGCTCCTCTCTATGTAGCCATGTGGAACACGATCATAAAGTAAATCATTTCATCGGCGAATTCAAGTGTCCGGCCTTCTATTTTAGGGTGAGCGAACTTGACCTTTGGTACATTTAAATAAGTCTGTTTGTATGGTGCACCAAACTGGTTATTTACAGCCAACTTAATTTGTATGGTAGACCGAAGTGGTTATTTACCAGACAAACCGATGTTTTTATAAGAGATATAGACAACAACAAAATAAAAAGATTGATGCTTATTTTAAGGGTTAAATGATTTAATTAATTTAACTTGATTTAAAATACTTATCACATATAAAATATTTGCAGCAAGAATATTACCTGCATAGTTTTTAAAGTCAAACTTAAAGCATGAGATTTGTGTCCCATTTAGTCGATAGCCAAGGTTTTCAAACGTTTAACATGAATGCTTGAAATTATGTGTGTAGCTGTAGCACTTATCAAAAGTTTGAAATTATCTGTGCAGATGTGCAAGTATCTGAATTCCTCCATGGCAGGTGAAGTCTTTACTCACCACAAGATAGATACCACGGTAAGACGTGTGTTGTTGTTGATCACAGTTGATGGATGTGTTTGCGTATTTTGGCGGGTGTGTTGTTAGTGCGTGCTTTGTTTGTCATGCAACACACATGTGACGTTTTAGGTAACACATATGTTAAGTGACACACACCCGACACAGGGAATCAAATAATGAAATGATAACAGTGGTTGCACACGTACATACATATGACTAACTCTATTGGCGTACATACATATACATACATATGTTTCCTGTGTTTGACCAGGCATTTCGAGATGACGCCAACAAAAATTACTACTCAAAAGGAGTCAACCTGGAGCAGTACGGCCCCAAAGTGGTCGGTGCCGGTCTCAGGCGGTTCCTCAGGGAACTCAGGGAACCGTTGCTGAGCGTTGACCAGCTGAAAGACTTCCCGCCATTGGCAAGTAAGTCTGGCACCAGGCTGGTTCTCGAAGTCCAATTTTTCATCTTTGGTTCTTACTGGCTGGCCGTCTGTCTAAAGGTCCACCTTTATTTAACGTTCATAGCGTGGGTTTTAGCAACGATCATATCCCTAATCCTAACCTCACAACTAAACCCCCTCCATCCACCCCGAATGAAAAATGATTTTTATAGAAAATATATCCTTTAACCAGTGTCCGCCTCCCCCCCCCCCCGCCCCTAGAAAATTTAGTCCCCCCCCCCCCCCCCCCCATCAATTTTTTTCTGAAAGAAAAATTGCACGTCACCCAGTGCATTTTCCTAAAGTAATTTTTTTTGTTTGTTTTTGTTTTTCGTTTAGGCTTACAGAACATTTATAGGCTCCAGATTTTAAATTACATGTACCTCATTATGCGCAAGGAACACAGAGATACACTACAGGTGAGTTGGTCAGAGACACACTACAGGTGAGTTGGTCAGAGACACACTACAGGTGAGTTGGTCAGAGACACACTACAGGTGAGTTGGTCAGAGACACACTACAGGTGAGTTGGTCAGGGACACACTACAGGTGAGTTGGTCAGAGTCAGAGACACACTACAGGTGAGTTGGTCAGAGACACACTACAGGTGAGTTGGTCAGAGACACACTACAGGTGAGTTGGTCAGAGACACACTACAGGTGAGTTGGTCAGAGACACACTACAGGTGAGTTGGTCAGAGACACACTACAGGTGAGTTGGTCAGGGACACACTACAGGTGAGTTGGTCAGAGTCAGAGACACACTACAGGTGAGTTGGTCAGAGACACACTACAGGTGAGTTGGTCAGAGACACACTACAGGTGAGTTGGTCAGAGACACACTATAGGTGAGTTGGTCAGAGACACACTACAGGTGAGTTGGTCAGAGACACACTACAGGTGAGTTGGTCAGAGACACACTACAGGTGAGTTGGTCAGAGACACACTACAGGTGAGTTGGTCAGAGACACACTACAGGTGAGTTGGTCAGAGACACACTACAGGTGAGTTGGTCAGAGACACACTACAGGTGAGTTGGTCAGAGACAGAGACACACTACAGGTGAGTTGGTCAGAGACACACTACAGGTGAGTTGGTCAGAGACAGGGACACAGTACAGGTGAGTTGGTCAGAGACACACTACAGGTGAGTTGGTCAGAGACAGAGACACACTACAGGTGAGTTGGTCAGAGACACACTACAGGTGAGTTGGTCAGAGACAGGGACACAGTACAGGTGAGTTGGTCAGAGACACACTACAGGTGAGTTGGTCAGAGACACACTACAGGTGAGTTGGTCAGAGACACACTACAGGTGAGTTGGTCAGAGACACACTACAGGTGAGTTGGTCAGACACACACTATAGGTGAGTTGGTCAGAGACAGGGACACACTACAGGTGAGTTGGTCAGAGACACACTATAGGTGAGTTGGTCAGAGACACACTACAGGTGAGTTGGTCAGAGACAGGGACACACTACAGGTGAGTTGGTCAGAGACACACTATAGGTGAGTTGGTCAGAGACACACTACAGGTGAGTTGGTCAGAGACAGGGACACACTACAGGTGAGTTGGCCAGAGACACACTACAGGTGATTTGGTCAGAGTCAGAGACACACTACAGGTGAGTTGGTCAGAGACACACTACAGGTGAGTTGGTCAGAGTCAGAGACACACTACAGGTGAGTTGGTCAGAGTCAGAGACACACTACAGGTGAGTTGGTCAGAGACACACTACAGGTGAGTTGGTCAGAGACACACTACAGGTGAGTTGGTCAGAGACACACTACAGGTGAGTTGGTCAGAGACACACTACAGGTGAGTTGGTCAGAGACACACTACAGGTGAGTTGGTCAGAGACACACTACAGGTGAGTTGGTCAGAGACACACTACAGGTGAGTTGGTCAGAGACACACTACAGGTGAGTTGGTCAGAGACACACTACAGGTGAGTTGGTCAGAGACACACTACAGGTGAGTTGGTCAGACAGTTTTTGTCCTTCTCTGGCATCTGTAGTTCCAGAAATTTTGTTGCGATCACTTAGAGTTTTCTCTACATGCGTCCGACCCTGTCTATTGACCGGTACACCCCGGCAGTGTACTCACACTTCTCTAGACAACATTACTAGAACACCTCTTACCGACCAGCTCAGTCACGTGATGCTTCTCTACTCGTTAGTGGCCGCACTGTTTCCAAGGGTGCAGGTGAAGTAGAGCTCTTCTGATGCGGTCATCTTTGGTCCAAACTCCCGTGTGAGCCATCGTGTGCGCTGTCACTCGACCACGCCCATCTGTCAGTGGTTGACATCTGTTGACACACCTTGACCCCTGTTGACACACCTTGACCCCTGTTGACACACCTTGACCCCTGTTGACACACCTTGACCCCTGTTGACACACCTTGACCCCTGTTGACACACCTTGACCCCTGTTGACACACCTTGACCCCTGTTGACACATCTTGACCCCTATAGACCCTATTGCCACACATTGACCCTATTGCCACACCTTGACCCCCTATTAACACACCTTGACCCCCTATTAACACACCTATTGACAGGCGCTGGTGTACGTGTGTAGCCGCGAGTCTGAGATATGTGGTAACAGAGACCCCGAAGAGCAGGCCGCTGTCCTGTATCCGGACATCATCCGCACTCCGGACAGCAAGGACGCCGGCAAACAAAAGTTCTGGGCCGAACAGAATCAGCTCATCACACGGATCTACATCGATTATAGCGAGAAGTTGTGGACGGTAGGTTGGGGTGTGTGGATGGTAGGTTGGGTGTGTGGGCGGTAGGTTAGAGGTATATGGATGGTAGGTTGGGAGGTGAGGCCGGTAGGTTGGGGTGTGGACGGTAGGTTGGGGGTGGGTAATTTGGGAGGTGTGGACGGTAGGTTGGGGTGTGGACGGTAGGTTGGGGGGGAGGTTGGGAGGTGTGGACGGTAGGTTGGGGTGTGCTAGGTTGGGTGTTTGGACGGTAGGTTGGGGGTGGTGGTAGGGGCAGGGGGTGGTAGGTTGGGGGGGGGGGGGGGGGGTAAGTTGGGGTGTGGGCGGTAGGTTGGGGTGTGTGGATGGTAGGTTGGGGAGGGGGGTGTGTGGGCGATATGTTGTGGTGTTTGTGTGGATGGTAGGTTGGGGTGTGTGGACGGTATGTTGGGGTGTGTGGATGGTAGGTTGGGGTGTGTGGATGGTAGGTTGGGGAGGGGGGTGTGTGGGCGATATGTTGTGGTGTTTGTGCGGATGGTAGGTTGGGGTGTGTGGACGGTATGTTGGGGTGTGTGGATGGTAGGTTGGGGTGTGTGGATGGTAGGTTGGGGGGTGTGGATGGTAGGTTGGGGAGGGGGGTGTGTGGGCGATATGTTGTGGTGTTTGTGTGGATGGTAGGTTGGGGTGTGTGGACGGTATGTTGGGGTGTGTGGATGGTAGGTTGGGGTGTGTGGATGGTAGGTTGGGGTGTGTGGATGGTAGGTTGGGGTGTGTGGATGGTAGGTTGGGGTGTGTGGATGGTAGGTTGGGGTGTGTGGATGGTAGGTTGGGGAGGGGGGTGTGTGGGCGATATGTTGTGGTGTTTGTGTGGATGGTAGGTTGGGGTGTGTGGACGGTATGTTGGGGTGTGTGGATGGTAGGTTGGGGTGTGTGGATGGTAGGTTGGGGTGTGTGGATGGTAGGTTGGGGTGTGTGGATGGTAGGTTGGGGAGGGGGGGGGTGTGGGCGATATGTTGTGGTGTTTGTGTGGATGGTAGGTTGGGGTGTGTGGACGGTATGTTAGGGTGTGTGCGTGTGAGTGTGAGTGTGGGCGGTAGGTAAATGTGTGTGGTCAGTAAGTTTTAGATAAAGTAACGTGTATAAGTAATACGGTGAGTACCATACCAAGCGAATCATTACCCCCCCCATTCCCTCTAACCATAGTGAATGCTCGTGGTGATTGAATGATTGTGATGATTGAATGATGGTGATGGTTGAATGATTGTGATGATTGAATGATTGTGATGATTGAATGATTGTGATGATTGAATGATTGTGATGATTGAATGAATGTGATGATTGAATGATTGTGATTATTGAATGATTGTGTCCACAGGTCTCCCCAAACCTGATCAACCAAGTCAGACATCTCTACAACACTGGGAAAGCTAAAGTCAAACCAAGCAAGCCTTTTGTGAGTAGTTTGTAACCAAGCAAGCCTTTTGTGAGTACTTTGTAACAAAGCAAGCCTTTCGTGAGTACTTTGTAACAAAGCAAGCCTTTCGTGAGTACTTTGTAACAAAGCAAGCCTTTCGTGAGTACTTTGTAACAAAGCAAGCCTTTCGTGAGTACTTTGTAACAAAGCAAGCCTTTCGTGAGTACTTTGTAACAAAGCAAGCCTTTCGTGAGTACTTTGTAACAAAGCAAGCCTTTCGTGAGTACTTTGTAACAAAGCAAGCCTTTCGTGAGTACTTTGTAACAAAGCAAGCCTTTTGTGAGTACTTTGTAACAAAGCAAGCCTTTCGTGAGTACTTTGTAACAAAGCAAGCCTTTCGTGAGTACTTTGTAACAAAGCAAGCCTTTCGTGAGTACTTTGTAACAAAGCAAGCCTTTTGTGAGTACTTTGTAACAAAGCAAGCCTTTCGTGAGTACTTTGTAACAAAGCAAGCCTTTCGTGAGTACTTTGTAACAAAGCAAGCCTTTTGTGAGTACTTTGTAACAAAGCAAGCCTTTCGTGAGTACTTTGTAACAAATCAAGCCTTTTGTGTGCAGAGGCGTAGCGACCCTTCCCGGCGCCTGGGGACAAACTTTCAATTTGGTGCCCCCCTGGGAGCAATTTTTCAGTTTGCACCACACCCCCTCAAACTTTCGATTTGCACCCCCCACCCCTCCTCAAACTATAATGCAAAATGCAGCTAAAATGACATTTTGACAACCCATTTTGGCGCCCCCTAAGGTCGGCGCCCGGGGACATATGTACCTCTGTTCGTGAGTACTTTGTAACTAAGCAAGCCTTTCGTGAGTAGTTTGTCAACACCAACATTCGACATCTACACAACTAAAAGAAAGACGTCAAATAAATAAATCAAAGTAGTACCGTTTACTTTAATAAAAAAAATACCCGTGATAAAATGTAATTGATGAAAAAAGGAAGATGATTATTTCCCTTTTCTTGTTGAAACATGTTTGTCTCCCGCAGCCCTGGGCTAAGAAAGAAAAGTTTGACGGCGAAATGGCTTTGAAAGATTCCAACGTGGTAAGTCTACATAGATCAAAGTATAATGGGGAGTGGTTTTCTTAAGAAACAAATAAAATATGGGTTATTTTGGTAAGTCATCTTTTCGTGTTCGTGCCCAAGACACATGGGGCAGAGAAGACTTTGATCTTTACTACAGATGTGGACCCACACTTTACAACGATATGTTGTGGGAAAGTCCATGTTCTGTGCATCTGTGTTTTTGTGTATGTGTGCATTTGTGTGTTCTGTGTATTTGTGCATTTGTGTGTTCGGTGTATGTGTGTTCTGTGTGTGTGTTCTTTGTGTGTGTTCTGTGTATGTGTGTTCTGTGTTTGTGTGTTCTGTGTATGTGTGTTATGTGTGTGTGTTCTTTGTGTGTGTTCTGTGTATGTGTGTTCTGTGTTTGTGTGTTCTGTGTATGTGTGTTCTGTGTATGTGTGTTCTGTGTATGTATGTTCTGTGTGCTCTGTGATGGAGTAGAGTTCATCTGTTTCATATGAAGAGATAGTGTGGTCAGCACTATGCCCAGCCACCTTTGCTTTCCCTAACGTGATTTAGGTACCCATAAGAGCTGGGTGGACTCAGGGACGGTCTATTGACTTGAACCCAGATTCGAACTCGAGACTTTCGAGTTAACAGTCTAGCTCTCTACCGCTAGACCCACCGTTAGAAATTTTTAAAATGTGTCAAACTAATGAGCGAGATAATTTTTTTTTTTTTGCATTTGTTGCAAGATGTGAACCTCCCATGAGTGATTTGTTGTTAGATGTGAACCTCCCATGAGTGATTTGTTGTTAGATGTGAACCTCCCATGAGTGATTTGTTGTTAGATGTGAACCTCCCATGAGTGATTTGTTGTAAGATGTGAACCTCCCATTAGTGATTTGTTATGTGAACCTCCCATGAGTGATTTGTTGCAAGATGTGAACCTCCCATTAGTGATTTGTTGTTAGATGTGAACCTCCCATAAGTGATTTGTTGTTAGATGTGAACCTCCCATGAGTGCCTAGCTAGCCACTGTTTGTTTACATCCGGTACCTTTGATCACAGCGCCATCTGAAGAGCGTGGGGATTACAGTACAAGCCCAACACCTGGAGAATAAACAAAAGAAGGTGGAGATTAACGAGCAGACGACAGCCCTCGATGTTGTTAAACAGTTTGACAGGTACGTCGTCTGTCTGATGTAATCGTGTCTTACATTACCAGCATGTAATCGTTTCTTACATTACCAGCATGTATTCGTGTCTTACATTCATCATCATCATCATCATCATCATCATCATCATCATCACTCCTTTGTGGCCCCTGGGGAGCAAAGGGCTGCAACCTCATATCTCCATCGGACTCGGTTTTGGGCTCCTCCCTTAATCTGTGTCCATGTGAGCCCAGCTGCTTTCGCCTCTTCTTCAACCGTTCTTCTCCATGTCCTCCTTGGCCGGCCCACCCTCCTTTTTCCCTGGGGATTCCAGTTCAAAGCGTGTTTTGCGATGTTTTCTTTTTCTTTTCTTAACGTGTTTCCGATCCATCCCCATTTACGGGCCTTGGTATCTTTCTCTATTGGCTGTTGCTTTAAAATTTGCCACAGGTCTTTGTTTGATATTTTGTGTCTTACATTACCAGTATGTAATCTTGGGATATATTCATCAGTATCATTGTAATTGTGTCTTACATACACATAAGAGTTGTGTAATTATGTCTAACACTAGCATCATGTAATTATGTCTTACATTTGTTATGTAATTATGTCTTACATTAGAGTTTTGTAATTATGTCTTACATTCGCAGCATGTAATTATGTCTTAGAGTTATGCAATTTTGAGCCTAACTTTAGCAGCCTAGCTATTCAAAATTGTGAACGTTCAAATGAATGAGAGAGTGTGATCATTGTAATGTTAGATCGCAAGAAATTTGTTTCACAGTTATAAACATGTGTTGTGTTTACTATGATGTGTTGTGTTTAATGGGATGTGTTGTGTTTACTGTGATGTGTTGTGTTTACTGTGATGTGCTGTGTTTACTGTGATGTGTTGTGTTGTGTTTACTGTGTGTGTTGTGTTTACTGTGATGTGCTGTGTTTACTGTGATGTGCTGTGTTTACTGGATGTGTTGTGTTTACTGTAATGTGTTGTGTTTACTGTGATGTGTTGTGTTTACTGTGACGTGTTGTGTTTACTGGCATGTGTTGTGTTTACTGGATGTGTTGTGTTTACTGTGATGTGTTGTGTTTAATGGGATGTGTTGTGTTTACTGGATGTGTTGTGTTTAATGGAATGTGTTGTGTTTAATGGAATGTGTTGTGTTTACTGAGATGTGTTGTGTTTACTGAGATGTGTTGTGTTTACTGTGATGTGTTGTGTTTAATGGAATGTGTTGTGTTTAATGGAATGTGTTGTGTTAACTGGGATGTGTTGTGTTTACTGGATGTGTTGTGTTTACTGGCATGTGTTGTGTTCATAGGATGTGTTGTGTTTACTGGATGTGATGTGTTGTGTTTAATGGAATGTGTTGTGTTTAATGGAATGTGTTGTGTTTACTGGATGTGTTGTGTTTACTGGTATGTGTTGTGTTTAATGGATGTGTTGTGTTTATTGTGATGTGTTGTGTTTACAGCAATCCGGAACTGTCGCAGACTATAAAAACATCAAAACCCAGAAAGTTGGAGTTCCGGTCGAAAAAATTCAATTACCTGTATGAAATCGGCGGCAACATAGGTAGGTTTTATGTAGGTGGTGATATTGGTAGGTTGTATGTAGGTGGTGATATAGGTAGGTTGTATGTATGTGGTGATATTGGTAGGTTGTATGTAGGTGGTGATATAGGTAGGTTGTATGTAATTGGTGACATAGGTAGGTTGTATGTAGCTGGTGATATAGGTAGGTTGTATGTAATTGGTGACATAGGTAGGTTGTATGTAGCTGGTGATATAGGTAGGTTGTATGTAGTGGGTGTGATATTGGTAGGTTGTAGTTGATGGTGATATAGGTAGATTTTATAGTGTGATATCTATTAAAACATTTTTATATTTATTTTTTAATCTTTAAGTTGTTTTTTTTATGTTTGTTTAATCTCCGTGTAGTCCCATTGTCTAATGAGAGACCGGTTTGTTTAATCTCCGTGTAGTCCCCTTGCCTAATCCCAGACCGGTTTGTTTAATCTCCGTGTAGTCCCATTGTCTAATCCCAGACCGGTTTGTTTAATCTCCGTGTAGTCCCCTTGCCTAATGCCAGACCGAATCGTTTCAGGATATCGTATCATCGACCCCGAGGCTAAGGTGCTGGAAGTCTACAAGATGAATCCCAAAGCATCTTTTGTCATTATGGAACACTTCGCCCGATAAACATCTGGCTAAATTAATGACTTTCGTCATTATGGCTAAATTAATGACAGATATTTGCTTAAAATCTCATGCCAATACTTTTTACTTTTAAGATACCTTATACAATTTTATCTCTTTTAAACATTATATTTTACACTTTTTAAATTCTTTCACTAAATGTTCCCTGCTAGGCGGGTTGTTCCCCCTGCTAAATGTAACTCTAGGTGGCGGCTTCAAGTGTCGAGATGGCGCAAGTTTTGATACTTCCAATTTAACAAAATTCAAAATGGTCATCTTAAGGGTTAAAATGTAATTGAATATACAACATATACAACATATAGAACATATACAACAATATTCTACCAAAATATGGAAATAAAAATGTACAGAACTAAACTATCGGTGTTCTGTTGAGATATTTCGGCTTTCTTATTCGATTCAAGAAATCGTTTTGTTTTTAGTGTGTTTTGCTAAAAAAAATAATTTTTAATTCTTTACGGCAATTCCACTCGTTAAATTTTAAACCTACTTTAGAAGGGGGTATTTTAACAGTAAAATTCTAATGTAACATTTCTCAACCAACGACCAAAACATCGATGGTTTTATAGTGTGTGGGTAGGTGTGAGTATATATATATATATATATATATATATATATATATATATATATATATATACCCATACCTACCCTATATATATAGTTGCATTCGAATATACGTAGCAGTTGGGGGGGGGGGGGTGCGCGAGTTAATCAATTAACGAGTTAATTCTCATAAAGATTTGGTAATTAGTTGATTAATTTGAACTGTCATTTTATTATAATTAGAAATTATACCAACGTTGACGTAACAAGAATAAAGGTCACAACCTAAGTTGTATGTTGGAAAATTTTAGTCTGTTCATGGTGATATAATTGTGTATGGTGTGTGGTGTGTGTACGGTGTAACGTTAACCTTACTATCAGCCAAATAGATGGAGAACGTCCCCGGATTCTTTTTTCGGGGTCATATGCAAATGCCTTACGGCCTAAGTGGATGAACACTTAACACAACGACCACTAGGGCTCGAAATTAATGTCTAGGGGAGCTAGTGATACTATTGTAATTAACACTCATCCAATCTACATACGACCATTTAATCAGCGAACTCAGATGTGGCAAAACACCAAGATGAACTAGATAAAATATTTAATGTATAAAATATCAAAAACCCAACTTACAAAATGTAGGAAAAATCACTATCACAGATTTCTACACTGTCTAAAGAACAGCTACAGGCCACACAACACTGCTGCAGCTTCAAGACTTACTTAGCGACAAGTAATATTAAACTAGAAGACTAAATCAACTGAAGAAAGCAAGGCACACACAGGTCTTAAGTACTCTCACGTTCAAATGGTCAGAGTCTATAGCCGGACAATATGGACGGTTGCCTGAACAAGGTGAAACGGCCCCGTAGACTGCCAGGTCAAGAAAAACTGCTTCGTGTTGCGAGTGTGCAGTGCAAAAAAATACTTCTGTGACAGGGGAGGTTATCCTCAACTCATGTCGCCATTGGTTGGGATAATCATCTGATCAGAATCATTCAATCAGATTTTAATGGAAAATTTTTATGTCTCAAACACCTTAATAAGTCAGTGGAAAAACCCCAGGTGTTACACCATCATTCCATATAAGGAATTATACAATGTCAAAATAAAAATGACTCGACCTAAGTAGGTCACATCCCCTCCCTTTTTGGAAGTGACAGATAGGTTCCACAAAAACATACATAAGGAACCAATCTGGCAATGAAATAACAAAAATGTTTTACAAATGTAGGCAATCAAAATCATGATACCAGATGAAAATATCCCTGAACATAAAAGGGAAGTAACTCCAACTTTTACAATTGGTGAAAGGGGAGTAACCCTTCAAAAAGTAATTATACATCAAAATCCCTCAGGAAAGGGTATTACAATATTTCCATGTGGATATTAAAAGTGGTAAACCCGCCAGGGTAAGACCTTTATTTCAATGACTAGCTACAATATCAATTGAGTCATATGAGACATATTATTATAAAAGATTACATATAATCAAAAACCACCTTTAATTAAGGTTCACCTGAAAATAAACAAAATTTTCAACAGGATTGGAATTTTGAAAAATTCTAACTCACACCACTCATTTTCATATGAGTGACACTCAAACAAAACCTGTTTATGGTCCTAATGAACCACAAAGCGTGTCACATGATCAATGTGTGTAACAAGATTTTACATCCTTGACAAACAATCAGCCACAACATTATCACTACCCTTAATGTGTGAAATTTCCAGATTAAAATTTTGGAAATATAAGCACCATCTCAATATTCTTTGATTTGTCTGTCCTAACTTAGAGGTAAATTTCAGGGGATCATGGTCAGAAAACACTCTGACTGGATTGGTTGAAGAAGAGACATAGACTTCAAAATGTTGTAATGATAAAACCAAAGCTAAAGCCTCTTTTTCAATAGTAGAATAATTCTTTTGGTTTGCATTTAACTTCCTGGAAAAAAAGGCAATGGGATGGTCAATTCCCATGTTGTCTTCTTGAAATAGGACTGAGCCAATGGCTAAGTTGCTAGCATCAATGGCAAGTTTAAAGGGCTTGCTAAAATTTGGAGCAGCCATAACAGGAGCATTAGATAGAAATGACTTAATGGTTAAAAAGGCTTCCTGACATTTATTTGACCATTCAAACTTAACACCCTTTTTCAATAATGCAGTAAGAGGTTCAGCAATAGCTGAAAAGTTTTGACAGAACCGCCTATAGTAACCAGCCATCCCAAGGAACTTTTTGATCTCTTTACAATTTTTGGGAGGTGGTAACCTTACAATAGCATCTACTTTAGCTTCAATGGGCCGAACTTGGTTCGTTCCCACTTGATAACCCAAATAGGTAATTGAAGCTTTACAGAAATCACTTTTATGTAAGTTTACAGTAAAATTAACTTCAGACAATTTTCTAAAAAGGTTAGTCAATTGAATAATATGTTCTTCAAAAGTATTAGAAAATACAACTATATCATCAATGTAGGCCTCACATTGGTCTACGTCAGCAATGACAGAGTTAATGACCCTCTGGAAAGTTTGACCAGCATTTCGCATACCAAAGGGCATACGTTTGTATCTATAAAAACCATTAGGGGTTACAAAAGCAGATATTTCTTTTGCACGGTCAGATAAGGGGATTTGCCAGTATCCTGAAAGTAAATCAATTTTGGTAATTATCTTAGCTTGACCAACTTTATCAATAACGTCCTCTATCCGAGGTAATGGATAGGAATCAGCTTTGGTGAGCGCATTCACCTTCCTAAAGTCGGTCACAAACCTGAAAGATCCACCGTCTTTCGGGACTAGGAGACATGGGGAACTCCAGTTGCTGAAACTGGGCTCAATGATATCATTCTTGAGCATATAATCAATTTCATCTTTTATCAAAGCAGCTTTTTCCGGGTTAACTCTATAGGGGTGTTGTTTAATGGGTTTTGCGTCACCAACGTCTACATCATGAGGTGGAACTTTCGCTTCTTTGGGGACATCCCCAAAAATAGAGGGAAATGTCTCAAATAACTGAGACAATCTATGGCTTTCCTCTGTGGACAAATGCATAAGGTGGACATTCAAATTATCTAAAAAGGAAGAATTTACCAATTTTGGGGGTTTCAATTTATCATGTATCACATCATCAGAAACATTTGAACATACAGGTAAAGTAATTTTAGCTGTGGATTGAAAATTGTTACAATTATCATAATACTTTTTCAGTGAGTTGACATGATACACTGTTTGTTTCTTTCTTCTGTCGGGCGTATTGACAACATAGTTCAAATCACTTAATTTTGAATGCACAGTAAAGGGTCCACAATATCTCAAGGATAACGCATTGTTCAGATTAGGTACTAGCACAAGAACTTTGTCGCCTGGATTGAATGTTCGTTTACAAGAACTCTTATCATACAGTTCTTTCATTCTAACTTGGGCCTTTCTTAAGTTCTTGTGAGCCATTTCGCACACGGCTTTCAGTCGAACGTGAAAATCGTCGAAGTTTTCCACTGGATGATCACTGGTACCTGTCCAACGTTCGTGTATCAGCTTCAGGGGGCCACGGACAGAATGTCCAAACACAAGTTGAAAAGGCGAGTAGCCTAAAGAGTCCTGGACACAGTCCCTCGCGGCGAAAATAATCCAAGGAACAGACTCATCCCATTGGGTGTTACTATTAGCGAATGTCCTTAGCATGGTTTTGAGGGTTTGGTGGAACCTCTCAAGTACGCCTTGAGACTGAGGGTGGTAGGCTGAGCTGGTGATGTGGGTAACGCCTAGCTTGGCTAGCGCTTCCTGAAAATGGTGACTGGTGAAGTTGCTGCCTTGATCTGTTTGCACAATTCTAGGTAATCCAAAGGTAGTGAAGAACCGGGTCATGGCTCTGACTACAGTCTTTGCCTTAATGTTCCGTAAGGGAATCGCCTCGGGAAAACGGGTACTTGAACACATAAAGGTAAGTAGGTACTCGTTGCCCGCCTTGGTTTTAGGCAAGGGACCTACACAGTCCATGACGATTTTTGAAAAGGGTTCTTCTAATACAGGAATCGGACTCAAAGGGGCCTTAGGAATTGTCTGGTTTGGCTTTCCGGCCAACTGACAGTTCGTGCAACTTCTACAGTAACGCGACACATCTTTTCTCATTTTGGGCCAAAAGAACAGTTCTTTGATCTTCGCCGTCGTTTTAGTGACACCTGGGTGCGCTGACATTGGATGGTCATGTGCCAGCTTAAGTATTTCATGCCGATAAGGTGGAGGGACCCACAGCTGGTTTTTACCCAACCATGGTTCGGCTGGTGAGGCATTCACCGGTATAGCGCGACGAAAGAAGAGGCCGTTCTCGGAGAAATATTCTCCATCGTCAGATGATAGAGATTTTTCGACCGCTGCTTTGAGTTCCGCGTCGACTTGTTGAGCTTTAATGATGTCTTCCTGAGATATCCTCAGGGGTAAGCCCAGGCTTGTGTTTTCTGGAAGCATAGACTCCAGTTTGGGAGTCGAATTTCTTGACGATGATGGCGGGTGTGGTTCAGACGTTGTGTCAGCCAATTGTTTGGTCTGGCTTCTTGTCACCGCACATGCAGGATACAGTTCATTATCATTATCTGGAACTGTTGACAAAGGGTCTGAAACCGTACAGGGGTATACTTTGCTTCCCGCAAGGTCATTCCCTAGAAGTAGGTGTACTCCTGGGACAGGAATACTATCTATCACACCTAAAATGACCTCACCTTCGACGAGATGATGTTTCAGGGCAAACTTGTGTAGAGGGACGACAGTAGATTTTGTCCCCACTCCCTGGATAATGGAAATCTTTCCGGTGTTCGTCTCTGGTGTAATGTCCATTGAACTTTTCAAAAGGAGTGATTGTGACGCTCCTGTGTCTCTTAGGACGGTGATATTCCGCTGAGACAACGGATCACCTGGTTTGCTAATGATGGCTTCGGCAGTAAAAGATGAAAAGTCAACTTTTCTCGATCTCTCGAGATCGGTAGACTCGGAAGAAACTGGATGGTGGCGAGAACAGTCAAAATGTGACTGCACATAATGTGTGGAGACTTGACTACCTTCTTGCGGACACTTAGGGTTAGAGTCCTTTTGAATTCTAGAGTTCATAGTTGAACTGGCTGCTTGAGGGGATAGAGCATAGTGCGCGGAAGTACGCACCACCTCTCTGTTATATTGACGACGTTTGTAACAGTCCTTGACAAGATGCCCAGACCTTTTGCAGAACTGGCATACTGCTCGACGATTGAGAGTTGATCTTGGTTTCTCTCTGGACTGTGATGCCTTCAAATGTTGGCCAACAGGATGATTGCTGCCAAAAAGGGGAAGCACGGGGTTGAGGCGGTTTCCTGACACTGGGGGTTTCTTATGCACCAACATATATGTGTCAGCCGACTCAGCAGCCTTCTGGATGTCAGTTATCTTGTTATCCAGTATGTGTAGTCGTATCTCTTCAGGCAGGGACGATAGGAATTCTTCCCTTAGGATAAGTGACCTGAGTTTCTCAAACTCAGAAACTTCCTCAGAGTGTAGCCACCTTGAGAATATTTTCTCCTTTTCAAAGAGAAATTCCACATATGATTGTGTGGGTAACTTGCGGAGTGTTCGGAATTTTGTCCGATAGGCCTCGGGCGTCAGAGCGTAGGCCTTTAAAATGGCAGTCTTGACCAAACTATAGTTATTTTGAACGTCGTGAGAGAGTGCCTGGTATGTTTTTGCAGCTTTCCCAGTAAGGACAGAGCTCAATAAAGCAGTAATGGAAGTTTCGGGCCATTCACATGTCTTCGCTAAACTCTCAAACGAGTTAAAGAAAACGACCAAATCTGTTTCATCAAATTTCGGAACTAATTTCCCAAATTTGGCAATAACTTGCCCTACCGACAACTTTTTTGGATCTACCGGAGAAGTGACATCACTAACTTGACCAAACTCTAATTCCAACCTCCTCTTATCTAAAGCAATTTTAGCCTCTAACTCCTGTTTCTCTAGAGCACTTTTAGTTTCAAACTCCTTTTCTTTTAATAGAAGCTCTCTCTCTTCTATAGATTTCTCCTCGCGGAGCAACACACTAGCTAACAAACTTTCGTCAAATACTCCTTCATTAATGAAATGAACAACAATTTTATCTCTCAACACCTCTGACTTCTGCATAACAGAATAATCCAATTTCAATTCCTTAACAACACTAACCAAAACTTTTCTACTCAGCTTTTCTACATCTTCAACAGTAGGATTAGCCAAAAACGACTCCATAACACTAACTTTCAAATCACAACAAGCCTAGGTTCACTAACTTAACACGGTGAGTTGGGCCGTGTACTTGACCTCTAAATGTAGGACGTGACACGTCTGCTTATTTGACCTAGATACTCTAGCCTGAGCGCGCGTTGTAAGAACACTGCGCTACTGGATATAAAAACAACTAAATCCAACTAACCTTAGTATTCAACTGATATAACCAACAACTGGAACGACAGATTAAATCTCGGCGAGACCCCACTTTGTAACGTTAACCTTACTATCAGCCAAATAGATGGAGAACGTCCCCGGATTCTTTTTTCGGGGTCATATGCAAATGCCTTACGGCCTAAGTGGATGAACACTTAACACAACGACCACTAGGGCTCGAAATTAATGTCTAGGGGAGCTAGTGATACTATTGTAATTAACACTCATCCAATCTACATACGACCATTTAATCAGCGAACTCAGATGTGGCAAAACACCAAGATGAACTAGATAAAATATTTAATGTATAAAATATCAAAAACCCAACTTACAAAATGTAGGAAAAATCACTATCACAGATTTCTACACTGTCTAAAGAACAGCTACAGGCCACACAACACTGCTGCAGCTTCAAGACTTACTTAGCGACAAGTAATATTAAACTAGAAGACTAAATCAACTGAAGAAAGCAAGGCACACACAGGTCTTAAGTACTCTCACGTTCAAATGGTCAGAGTCTATAGCCGGACAATATGGACGGTTGCCTGAACAAGGTGAAACGGCCCCGTAGACTGCCAGGTCAAGAAAAACTGCTTCGTGTTGCGAGTGTGCAGTGCAAAAAAATACTTCTGTGACAGGGGAGGTTATCCTCAACTCATGTCGCCATTGGTTGGGATAATCATCTGATCAGAATCATTCAATCAGATTTTAATGGAAAATTTTTATGTCTCAAACACCTTAATAAGTCAGTGGAAAAACCCCAGGTGTTACACCATCATTCCATATAAGGAATTATACAATGTCAAAATAAAAATGACTCGACCTAAGTAGGTCACAACGGTGTGTAAGGTGTGTGTGTGTATAGTGTGTGTCTGGTGTGTTCAAGGTTCGCTTTGGCCAAGAAAAAATAAGAAATATTAACCTTAAACATGAAGACAACAACAATATATCCAATATACAACAACAACCCCATAACACACACTCCAGTAACAACTAAATTTCAATGGTGTACATTTTATTTCGACTTTTACATTGTAATATGTTGTATATGTAATTCTCGTCATTATTATTTCTAAGAACAAATGTGTTTTTTTTTTAATAAATCAACGTCATACATTATATATTTTTTAAACACTACATTTTAAAAATTCTACTAAAGTGTTGTTATGTAGCTTGGTGATGTTTGTTTGGTGGTGTTTTGTTGTTATAGTTGTATAATACATTGGTTTATCAAAAATAATGTAGTGAAATAAAATAATCTTATTTGATAACAAAATTTTATCCCGTACTTTGTTTGAAAATTATTAATACTAAAACCTATGTGCCATTGAATGCCCAACACGTGTCTATCTGCCCTTGAATGCCCAACACGTGTCTATCTGCCCTTGAATGCCCAACACGTGTCTATCTGCCCTTGAATGCCCATGACATCTCTATCTCCCAAAGCCTGGCTGCACGACAAAGCCAGCGTCGGGATTAATCTTGAAAATTTCCAGAACCTTGGCGTTGGGGTCGATACAGCGAGAACCTGAAAGAAACATCTCCCATTAGACAAGACGACTACACAGAGACCCTGAAAGAAACACATCTACCATTAGACAAGACGACTACACAGACCCTAAACCCATCTTCCCATAAAAAGGCGACTATATTGGAAACAAACGGATCTCCCATTAGACAAGCTGGCTACAAGGAATCTGACAATGTAGGACAGCTAGTACACGGAAATACTTGAGGCGTATGGGAGTGATGCCACTTACCGATATTTACCCCCCCCCCCCATACTTACCGATATTGCCCCCCGCCCACACTTACCGATATTGCCCCCCCCCCAACTCTTACCGATATTGCCCCCCCCCCTCACACTTACCGATATTGCCTCCCCCACACTTACCGATATTGCCCCCCCCCCTCACACTTACCGATATTGCCTCCCCCACACTTACCGACATTGCCCCCCCCCCCCCCACACTTACCTATATTACCCCCCCCCCCCTCACACTTACCGATGTTGCCCCCCACCTCATACAGGTAGTTGTACTGTTGTAGTCTCATGTTGAGGTTCTTTGGCATCAACGTTGTACTCAACTCCCTCATCAGATTGGCGTTTCTGTAACCACACCATCAACACACGTCACCACACCACGTGACCACACCATTAACACACGTCACCACACCAGCAACACACGTCACCACACCATCAACACACGTGACTACACCATCAACACACGTGACCACACCACGTGACCACACCATTAACACACGTCACCACACCATCAACACACGTGACCACACCATCAACACACGTGACCACACCATCCACAAACACCACGTGACCACACCATCAACACACGTGACCACACCATCAACACACGTGACCACACCATCAACACACGTGACCACACCATCCACACACGTGACCACACCATCAACACACGTGACCACACCATCAACACACGTGACCACACCATCAACACACGTCACCACACCATCCACACACGTGACCACACCATCAACACACGTGACCACACCATCAACACACACCACGTGACCACACCATCAACACACGTGACCACACCATCAACACACGTGACCAAACCATCAACACACGTGACCACACCATCCACACACGTGACCACACCATCCACACACGTGACCACACCATCAACACACGTGACCACACCATCAACACACGTGACCACACCATCAACACACGTGACCACACCATCAACACACGTCACCACACCATCAACACGTGTGACCACACCATCAACACACGTGACCACACCATCAACACACGTGACCACACCATCAACACACGTCACCACACCATCAACACACGTGACCACACCATCAACACACGTGACCACACCATCAACACACGTGACCACACCATCAACACACGTCACCACACCATCAACACGTGTGACCACACCACACCATCAACACACGTCACCACACCATCAACACACGTGACCACACCATCAACACACGTGACCACACCATCAACACACGTCACCACACCATCAACACGTGTGACCACACCATCAACACACGTCACCACACCATCAACACACGTCACCACACCATCAACACGTGTGACCACACCATCAACACACGTGACCACACCATCAACACACGTCACCACACCATCAACACACGTCACCACACCATCAACACGTGTGACCACACCATCAACACACGTCACCACACCATCAACACACGTCACCACACCATCAACACGTGTGACCACACCATCAACACACGTCACCACACCATCAACACACGTGACCACATCATCAACACACGTCACCACACCAGCAACACACGTGACCACACCATCAACACACGTGACCACATCATCAACACACGTGACCACACCATCAACACACGTCACCACACCATCAACACACGTCACCACTCCATCAACACACGTGACCACACCATCAACACACGTGACCACACCATCAATACACGTGACCACACCATCAACACACGTGACCACACCATCAACACACGTGACCACACCATCCACACACGTGACCACACCATCAACACACGTCACCACACCATCAACACACGTCACCACACCATCAACACACGTCACCACACCATCAACACACGTGACCACACCATCAACACACGTCACCACACCATCAACACACGTCACCACAACATCAACACACGTGACCACACCATCAACACACGTGACCACACCATCAACACACGTCACCACAACATCAACACACGTCACCACACCATCAACACACGTCACCACACCATCAACACACGTGACCACACCATCAACACACGTGACCACACCATCAACACATGACCACACAGCATCTAAGCTCAATACTATATTTCCGTTAACTTGAAGACTACAACGACAATTGTTTATTCAAACGTGGCAACGACGGTCATGTACGTACGTGTCAAAATAAGCAACAACTTCAATGGCTTTTGTCTCCCCATCCACCCTCACCAGCTGCTCAGTTTTAGGGAGATGTGGAGCTTGCACCATGATATTCATTTCCTTAAGACTCGCCTGAAAGAGGCCAAGTGGGATGAGGGGGGGGGGGGGGGTGAGATGGAGCGATTTTAAAGTTAAGTAATTATTCCATCATATTAAAATTATTTGTTTGTTAATTAGAGTAATCATTTATTAAATATAATTCATAATCATGTTTTGTCTTTATTTTGATTAAATATAGACTGTGGACTATAGATATTGCTCTGTTATTTTAGTTTTGGTTACATTAACTGTTTATCATAATTAACTCTTTTAATTCTAAATATTTGCTTTTGTTTTTTGGAATAAATAACCATTTACACTGGGGTTTTATTTTTACTTAGTTTTTGTTAATTAGATTTAATATTTAATAAACATAGTGACTATTTTTATTTTTATTTTGCTGTGGATTTTTTTTTTTTTTTTTTTTTTTTTTTTTGCTGTTGATTAGATTAATAATTTATTAAACTTAGCCGATAAATTTAAATTTTTATTTTTGTTATTTAGATTAACAACGTATTAAACATAGCCCATACATTTAAATTTTGTTTTTGTTATTTAGATTAACAATTTATTAAACATAACCCATAAATTTAAATTTTGATTTTGTTATTTAGATTAACAATTTATTAAACATAGCCCATAAATTTAAATTTTGATTTTTTTATTTAGATTAACAACGTATAAACATAACCAATAAATTTAAACTTTGTTTTTGTTATTTAGATTAACAATTTATTAAACATAACTATTACATTTAAATTTTGATTTTGTTATTTAGATTAACAATTTATTAAACATAACTATTAAATTTAAATTTTGATTTTGTTATTTAGATCAACAATTTCTTAAACATAACCATTAAATTTAAATTTTGATTTTGTTATTTAGATTAACAATTTATTAAACATAACTATTAAATTTAAATTTTGATTTTGTTATTTAGATTAACAATGTATTAAACATAGCCCATAAATTTAAATTTTTATTTTGTTATTTAGATTAACAATTTATTAAACATAACTATTAAATTTAAATTTTGATTTTGTTATTTAGATTAACAATGTATTAAACATAGCCCATAAATTTAAATTTTTATTTTGTTATTTAGATTAACAATTTATTAAACATAACTATTAAATTTAAATTTTGATTTTGTTATTTAGATTAACAATTTATTAAACATAGCCCATAAATTTAAATTTTTATTTTGTTATTTAGATTAACCACTTACAAGTTCAGAGTTGGGTACAACCTTCTCCCCATCAAACTTGACTTTTTTAAACCAGGGCTGCAGGAAAACAAAGGTAGCTCAGTGGAATTGTGAGAATGTTTGTGTTTAGGTGTGTTCGTAGCTCAGTGGAATTTGGAGAATGTTTGTGTTTAGGTGTGTCAGTAGCTCAGTGGAATTGTGAGAATGTTTGTGTTTAGGTGTGTTCGTAGCTCAGTGGAATTTGGAGAATGTTTGTGTTTAGGTGGAACATTAGCTCAGTGGAATTGTGAGAATGTTTGTGTTTAGGTGTGTTCGTAGCTCAGTGGAATTTGGAAAATGTTTGTGTTTAGGTGAGTGAGAATCTCAGTAGAGTTGTGAGAATGTTTGGGTTTAGGTGTGTTTGTAGCTCAGTGGAATTGTGAGAATGTTTGTGTTTAGGTGAGTGAGAATCTCAGTAGAATTGTGAGAATGTTTGTGTTTAGGTGAGTGAGAATCTCAGTAGAATTGTGAGAATGTTTGTGTTTAGAAGTGTCGGTAGCTCATTTGAAATCTGAGATGTGTTCATGGTGTTAGGTTGATCTTGTTTAGATAGATTTAAAAAAAAGCTCAACTTACAAATTTGGACGGTTTAACTGTAGCTTTGCCCGACACGTACAACTGTCTCAGTTGCTTCACTAGTTCTGGGGGGACCTGTGCAACAAAACTTTCCTTTTTTATCCAAAGTTTAATGGAGGGGGGGGGTAAGTTTTAGGGTTTGAATTCGACATTCCTAATAATTTGGAATTTTGTGTACACATTTGACGTCTTTTATTTAACGAATGACGTCTTATAACGGTGTCTTGTTCACACTACTTCTAAAGACAATTGACGTCTTCTACAGAGCATATGTCTTCTACAGACTAAATGACGAATTCTACCGTGACCTATTCCGGCGCCTCGGGCGGACTAACAATTTTTCGCCCCATCCCTCCCATTTTTATATATACTTATTCCTGTCTGTAAAAATGCCCCCCCCCCCCTCCCAACAGGTTGGTGGCGCTTTGTACCAGATACTATCCCGTAACATTTTCTAATTTGGTGCCTCAAAATTGATATAGAAAACAGTTAAATCAGTGTGTAAAGCCTTATAGTCGTTTATTTTCGTAACTTCGACTTTGTATAATTCAATACTTCAGCTAAAAACGAGATTTTAAATTAAATTTTCCACATTATTTGGCGTCCCTTGGGGTTCGGCGACCAGGGCGGCCGCCCCACCCGCCCTCCCCTAGCTACGCCACTGGTATTCTAGTGAACTAATGACCTCTCCTAGACAATACATATCTTTTACGCTATACACACGCCGAGGACTGCCTTCTACCACACTGGTCTACACACGTTTGATAGTAGACATTCGTTCACACATCACATGACTTCACCCGGCCCATGATTGACGCCACGCAGCCCCCCTGCCTGACGGCACCAACTCACCACCCACAGCTTGTCGTGGTAGTCGAAGTACAGCTGGGTGTACAGCTCGTTCTCCAGCTGCATCTGGGCGAATGTGCTGGCGTTCTTGGTGTCGGGGAAGTAGCCGATGGCCGTGTGCAGGCTCGCTGCCACCATCTTGGCTGTCACCTGGGTCTGACGGTTGTGGCAGATGTGCTGGCACAGGTAGCTGAGCATCTGGGGGGGGGGGGGGGGCAAACATGAGGGTGGTTTACGTCTAGTTGGGGGGGAGGGGTGCAAACATGATGGTGGTTTACGTCTAGTTGGTGGGGGGTGGGGGGGGGGGCAAACATGAGGGTGGTTTACGTCTAGTTGGGGAGGGGGGTGCAAACATGATGGTGGTTTACGTCTAGTTGGTGGGGGGTGGGGGGGTGCAAACATGAGGGTGGTTTACGTCTAGTTGGGGGGGGGAGGTGCAAACATAAGGGTGGTTTACGTCTAGTTGGGGGGGGGGCAAACATGAGGATGGTTTACGTCTAGTTGGGGGGGGGCAAACATGAGGATGGTTTACGTCTAGTTGGGGGGGAGGTGCAAACATGAGGGTGGTTTACGTCTAGTTGGGGGGGGGGGGGGGGGCAAAACATGAGGGTGGTTTACGTCTAGTTGGGGGGGGGGAGGTGCAAACATAAGGGTGGTTTACGTCTAGTTGGGGGGGGGGGGGGGCAAACATGAGGATGGTTTACGTCTAGTTGGGGGGGGGGCAAACATGAGGGTGGTTTACGTCTAGTTGGGGGGGGGGGGCAAACATGAGGGTGGTTTACGTCTAGTTGGGGGGGGGGGGGCAAACATGAGGGTGGTTTACGTCTAGTTGGGGGGGGGCAAACATGAGGATGGTTTACGTCTAGTTGGGGGGGGGAGGTGCAAACATGAGGGTGGTTTACGTCTAGTTGGGGGGGGGGAAACATGAGGGTGGTTTACGTCTAGTTGGGGGGGGGAGGTGCAAACATAAGGGTGGTTTACGTCTAGTTGGGGGGGGGGGCAAACATGAGGGTGGTTTACGTCTAGTTGGGGGGGGGCAAACATGAGGGTGGTTTACGTCTAGTTTGGGGGGGGGGCAAACATGAGGGTGGTTTACGTCTAGTTGGGGGGGGGGGAATCATGAGGGTTTGGGGGGGGTAGGCGTCTAGAGGGAGAGGAAGGTATAGAGGGGGATGGTATATGTCAAGAGAGGGGGGGGAGGATGTTATATATATATATATATATATATATATATATATTATATATATATATATATATATATATATATTATGTAGAGAGGATGTATCATGTCTAGAGGGGAGGATGGTATATGTATAGAAGGAGAGGATGGTCTATGTCTCTGACCAACTCACCTGTAGTGGTGTCTCTGACCAACTCACCTGTAGTGTGTCCCTGACCAACTCACCTGTAGTTTGTCCCTGACCAACTCACCTGTAGTGTGTCTCTGACCAACTCACCTGTAGTATGTCTCTGACCAACTCACCTGTAGTGTGTCCTCTGACCAACTCACCTGTAGTGTGTCTCTGACCAACTCACCTGTAGTGTGTCTCTGACCAACTCACCTGTAGTGTGTCTCTGACCCAACTCACCTGTAGTGTGTCTCTGACCAACTCACCTGTAGTGTGTTCTCTGACCAACTCACCTGTACTGTGTCTCTGTCTCTGACCAACTCACCTGTAGTGTGTCTCTGACCAACTCACCTGTAGTATGTCTCTGACCAACTCACCTGTACTGTGTCTCTGTCTCTGACCAACTCACCTGTAGTGTGTCTCTGACCAACTCACCTGTAGTGTGTCCCTGACCAACTCACCTGTAGTGTGTCCCTGACCAACTCACCTGTAGTGTGTCTCTGACCAACTCACCTGTAGTGTGTCTCTGACCACCTCACCTGTAGTGTGTCCCTGTGTTCGACACGCATCATCATGTACAGGTAGTTTAAGATCTGGAGCCGATGAATGTTATGCAGTTCTTTAGAACAAAGAGAAAATTAATGTCACACCAATACAACTGACATTAGGTCAAACGTACAGCAAGCAGCAACTACTGACATTCATATGACGCAATTTTAAAAACCTAACTGGCATTCAGACAACACAATTTTAAAAATTTGATATTCATGAAACGATTTAAAAAACCTGACATTCAGACAACACAATTTTAAAAATCTGATATTCAGAAGATTCTATAGATTTAAATGGCAGGCATTTCACAGATTACAAAACAAAACACGTCATGTAGTGAGGACTGACTTGATATAGGAGGGAAACTTTCCAGATGGTCAACACTCAGTAGTGGCTCCTTGAGTTCCTCGAGGAAACATTTGAGGACGCTGGCGACCTCTTGAGGCCCATATTTTTTTAGGTTGACGGGGGAGGTGTAGAACTTTTCGTTGATTTCCTCCTTGATGGCCTGGGGACACATCATGTATCGTTCAAATCTTGTTACAATAAGCGCTGAGGTTACACAATACTGGCACACGCAGGTTACAGGCACACGCAGGTTACACAATACAGGCACTCGCAGGTTACACAATACAGGCACTCGCAGGTTACACAATACAGGCACACGCAGGTTACAGGCACACGCAGGTTACAGGCACACGCAGGTTACAGGCACACGCAGGTTACACAATACTGGCACACGCAGGTTACACAATACAGGCACACGCAGGTTACACAATACTGGCACACGCAGGTTACAGGCACACGCAGGTTACACAATACTGGCACACGCAGGTTACAGGCACACGCAGGTTACACAATACAGGCACACGCAGGTTACAGGCACACGCAGGTTACACAATACTGGCACACGCAGGTTACAGGCACACGCAGGTTACACAATACAGGCACACGCAGGTTACACAATACTGGCACACGCAGGTTACAGGCACACGCAGGTTACACAATACTGGCACACGCAGGTTACAGGCACACGCAGGTTACAGGCACACGCAGGTTACACAATACAGGCACTCGCAGGTTACACAATACAGGCACACGCAGGTTACAGGCACACGCAGGTTACAGGCACACGCAGGTTACACAATACAGGCACTCGCAGGTTACACAATACAGGCACACGCAGGTTACAGGCACACGCAGGTTACAGGCACAAGCAGGTTACACAATACAGGCACTCGCAGGTTACAGGCACACGCAGGTTACACAATACAGGCACTCGCAGGTTACACAATACAGGCACACGCAGGTTACACAATACAGGCACCAGCAGGTTACAGGCACACGCAGGTTACACAATACAGGCACACGCAGGTTACACAATACAGGCACACGCAGGTTACACAATACAGGCACACGCAGGTTACACAATACAGGCACCAGCAGGTTACAGGCACACGCAGGTTACATAATACAGGCAGTCGCAGGCTACACAATACAGGGCACACGCTGGTTACACGTCAAAGACAGCACACAAAAAAGACAATGAAACATAGAGACAACAAAAGACAGCAAAACCCAAATACAGCAAGACACAAGGACAACAAAACTCAACGACAGCAAAACACAAACACAACACAAACACAACACTAACACAAACACAACACAAACACAACACTAACACAAACACAACACAAACACAAAATAACACAACACAAACACGTACCTTTGTGTTCAATCCTGGGATATCAAAGACACTTACAGGCACACCTATCATCAGAATCCTGACCAACTGGGGGGGGGGGGGGGGGGAGAGAGAGAGAGAGCAATAGTGTCAGGCATGATATGAGTGTCAAACACTTTCAACAAACGTACTAACAGTTGAGTGATGTCAGTGATCAATGTCAGAGCTGACGCAAGCTTACTGACGCAAGCTTACTGACGCAAGCTTACTGACGCAAGCTTACTGACGCAAGCTTACTGACGCAAGCTTACTGACGCAAGCTTACCTCCATGACGACGATTGAAGTCATGAAGGGGGCGTGCTTAAATCCTAATTTGGCCTCGTGTTCCACAATACTTTGTAGGCTGGAGCCGAAAATCTTGTGAACTGAAAGTTTAGATTGGTCAAAAAATCTTTTGAACTTAAAGTTTAGAGTAGACCAAAATCTTGTGAACTTAAAGTTTAGAGTAGACCAAAATCTTGTGAACTTAAAGTTTAGAGTAGACCAAAATCTTGTCAACTTAAAGTTTAGAGTAGACAAAATCTTGTGAACTTAAAGTTTATAGTAGACCAAAATCGTGTGAACTTAAAGTTTAGAGTAGACAAAATCGTGTGAACTGAAAGTTTAGATTGGTCAAAAAATCTCGTGAACTTAAAGTTTAGAGACCAAAAATCTTGTGAAGTTAAAGTTAAGAAAAAAAAATCTAGTGTAGTCAAAATGTTTAGAGGCAAATTTGATATAATGGGTGGGAGGTGACGTATGTTGGGGGGGGGGGGGTCTGAAGTGAGACAACAAAAGACAAAGACAGCCAAACACAAAGACAGCCAAACACAGGGCTGTTGTGTGTTGACGAAGGTTGCTGTGGGGTGCTGTAAGGTTACTGGTAGGGTGTTGTGGGGTGCTGTAAGGTTACTGGTAGGGTGTTGTGTGTAAGGTTACTGGTAGGGTGCTGTAAGGTTACTGGTAGGGTGCTGTGGGGTGTTGTAAGGTTACTGGTAGGGTGCTGTGGGGTGTTGTAAGGTTACTGGTAGGGTGCTGTAAGGTTACTGGTAGGGTGTTGTGTGTAAGGTTACTGGTAGGGTGCTGTAAGGTTACTGGTAGGGTGTTGTGTGTACGGTTACTGGTAGGGTGCTGTAAGGTTACTGGTAGGGTGCTGTGGGGTGTTGTAAGGTTACTGGTAGGGTGCTGTGGGGTGTTGTAAGGTTACTGGTAGGGTGCTGTGGGGTGCTGTAAGATTGCTGGTAGGGTGCTGTAAGGTTACTGGTAGGGTGCTGTGGGGTGCTGTAAGATTGCTGGTAGGGTGCTGTAAGGTTACTGGTAGGGTGCTGTGGGGTGCTGTAAGGTTACTGGTAGGGTGTTGTGTGTAAGGTTACTGGTAGGGTGCTGTAAGGTTACTGGTAGGGTGCTGTGGGGTGCTGTAAGGTTACTGGTAGGGTGTTGTGGGGTGTTGTAAGGTTACTGGTAGGGTGCTGTGGGGTGCTGTAAGGTTACTGGTAAGGTGTTGTGGGGTGCTGTAAGGTTACTGGTAGGGTGTTGTAAGGTTACTGGTAGGGTGCTGTAAGGTTACTGGTAGGGTGCTGTAAAGTTACTGGTAGGGTGCTGTAAGGTTACTGGTAGGGTGCTGTGGGGTGCTGTAAGGTTACTGGTGGGGTGCTGTAAGGTTACTGGTAGGGTGCTGTAAGGTTACTGGTAGGGTGCTGTGGGGTGTTGTAAGGTTACTGGTAGGTGTTGTGTAGTGCTGTATGGATATTGATAGGGTGCCGTGAGGGTGCAATAGTGCAGCTGTATGCTGTGAAGCTGTTGTGAATGCCCCGCGGTCTTTATCACACAAATTCTGCTCACACTTGTGATTTTTATGTGAGCTTTTCTTGTACGGCAGCTGGTGTTTGTCCATCATGTTTTTCAGCTCATTGTATGCGAGCCTCTGTATCAGCTCCTGGTCCTCTGTGCTGAAGTCTCCCATGAACGTCAGGCCTGTGTCGTCCTTCAGGGCGTTGTAATACTGTCAACACAATAGGGCTGGTAAGTAGGTCAATAAACAGTTCTATGGCTCATGCAGGTTCTATTGAGCCGGTTGGTGACCTACTTGGTGACAAAAGGGCGTTGTAATACTGTCAACACAATTTGGGACAAAAGGGAGTTGTAATGCTGTCAACACAATAAGCAGGACAATAGGGCGTTGTAATACTGTCAACATAATTAGGAGGACAAAGGGGCGTTGTAATACTGTCAACACAATTTGGGACAAAAGGGCGTTGTAATACTGTCAACACAATTAGCGGGACGAAAGGGCGTTGTAATACTGTCAACACAATTAGGGACAAAAGGACGTTGTAATACTGTCAACACAATTTGGGACAAAAGGGAGTTGTAATGCTGTCAACACAATAAGCAGGACAATAGGGCGTTGTAATACTGTCAACATAATTAGGAGGACAAAGGGGCGTTGTAATACTGTCAACACAATTTGGGACAAAAGGGCGTTGTAATACTGTCAACACAATTAGCGGGACGAAAGGGCGTTGTAATACTGTCAACACAATTAGGGACAAAAGGACGTTGTTATACTGTCAACACAATTTGGGACAAGAGGGCGTTGTAATACTGTCAACACAATTTGGGACAAAAGGGCGTTGTAATACTGTCAACACAATAAGCGGGACAAAAGGGCGTTGTAATACTGTCAACACAATAAGCGGGACAAAAGGGCGTTGTAATACTGTCAACACAATAAGCGGGACAAAAGGGCGCTGTAATACTGTCAACACAATAAGCGGGACAAAAGGGCGTTGTAATACTGTCAACACCATTTGGGACGAAAGGGCGTTGTAATACTGTCAACACAATTTGGGACAAGAGGGCGTTGTAATACTGTCAACACAATAAGCGGGACAAAAGGGCGTTGTAATACTGTCAACACAATTTGGGACGAAAGGGCGTTGTAATACTGTCAACACAATTTGGGACAAGAGGGCGTTGTAATACTGTCAACACAATAAGCGGGACAAAAGGGCGTTGTAATACTGTCAACACAATTAGCGGGACAAAAGGGCGTTGTAATGCTGTCAACACAATTAGCGGGACAAAAGGGCGTTGTAATACTGGCAACACAATTTGAGACAAAAGGGCGTTGTAATACTGTCAACACAATTAGAAGGACAAAAGGGCATATGTAAGTCTTTTTATGCATATGTGGGTCTAGTTAGTGCTTATGTAGGTCTAGTTAGTGCATATGTAAGTCTAGTTAGAGCATACTTAAGTCTAATTAGTACAACTGTAAATCTAATTAGTGCATACGTCTAAATTAGAAAAGCTGTGTTTAAATTAGAGTTAGTCTAATTAGAACACATGACAGCCTGGGTTATGCATCAAGACAAGACTCACAGCAGGAACGTCGCAGTAGCCAGCCGATGGTACCCAGCATGTGTTGGACACGCCAGGCTTCAGCGCTTGTTTTAAAACTGCGAGACCTCCTGTCCGGCACTGACCAAACAAGCCTCGTGTCTGGCACTGTAGACCGTTCCAGTACTTCAAGCTTTTAGCAGACGAACGTGTCGCCCCATCTTGTTTGGGGGTTCTGCTGAGTTCCTGGAATTTGTCTGTGAAAAGTGTAAGGTGTGAGGTGTAAGGTTTGAGGTGTAAGATGTAAGGGGTAAGGCACTGTGTGTGTGAGGTTTAAGTGGTAAGGTGTAAGATGTAAGGTGTAAGATGTAAGGGGTAAGGCACTGTAAGGTGTGAGGTTAAGGTGTGAGGTTAAGGTGTAAGGTTAAGGTGTAAGGTTAAGGTGTAAAGTGTGAGGTGTGAAATGTAAGGTGTGAGGTGTAAGATGTAAGGGGTAAGGCACTGTAAGGTGTGAGATGTAAGGTGTGTAAAGTGTGAGGTTAAGGTGTAAGGTGGGAGGTGTGAAATGTAAGGTGTAAGGTGTAAGGTTAGAGGCATGATGTGTAAGGTGTAATGTGTGAGGTGTGAAATGTAAGGTGTGAGGTGTGATTTATAAGGTGTGAGGTGTGATGTATAATGTGTAAGGTGTAATGTGTGAGCTGTGAAATGTAAGGTGTAAGGTGTGAAATGTAAGGTGTAAGGTGTAAGACAGTAATCACTTACATGACGATTGGATCAAGGTGAGGGAGGCAAAGACAAAACTGGATGAAATTCTTCCTGGTCCATCTACGGGGGAGGGAGGGTGGGGGTGAGGCGACAGTGCCGGAGCACGTCCACCCCCCCCCCCCCCCACCCCCCACCCCCATTCGTCACCCACGACGCCAATTGAAAATGTATACACAAAATATATTCTTTAACCAGTGCCCCCCCCCCCCCCCATCGAAAATGTTCAGTGAACCTACCCCCTACCCCAAATGTTTGTCCCCTCAATGAAGTTGGTTGTCCATTGCAGAATTACTGCAAGCAGCAGAAGACAGCGAAAGATGTCAAAAAATATTTCACATTTTAATCTACTATTGATATTTAAAATGCAACTTGTGATATACAAGCGTTGTGTGGGTAGTGTGAGGTAATCTCACTTGTGATATAATAGAGTTGTGGGTAATGGGTGGGTGTTGTGAGGGTAATGTGTGGGTAATGTGAGGTAATCTCACATGTGATATACAAGATTCTTTTTGTGGGTAATGGAACAAGTTACCCTGGCGGCAGGTGAAGTAGCGTTCATCTGTTTCCCCGACTACGGAGTATGAAACTAGATCTAAAGACTAATTAGGTCAGCAATCGTGTGCTCTACATCCTGTCTACAGACTACACCACACGACAGCTTCGCGCTTTAAAATAAAAGCGCAAGTAATTATATCTAGTTCGATTAGAACTATCTCTATACACCCACCTCGCACAGACTATAAATATAACCCATAAACATATCTTTGTAAATTCATCTTATTTAGGTCTAGATCTAGACTTGACAAAGATCTAACATAAATAGGTTCTAAATGTAGATCGATAAAGATCTAATTTGTATGGATCTAGATTCTAAGTTCTTAGTTCTAAAGACTCTAGATTCTTCGAGATCTAGAGAAGACTATCTATCTAGCAAGCTGTTTACTCACCCCTATCGCTAATGGCATGCACAGCCATCAAACAACGACTCACATCCTTTGATATCAGGGAATTCGTTCCGGCAACGAAATGCCGGAAAGCGGCCGGAGAGACACAGATCCGGCTAAAGAGAACCATGATGGCGATGTGAAGAATGATGTGTGGTCCTCAGCTCAAAATGGAACGCTTGCATCAAAGTCAAAACAATCAAAGAAATCACGTCACTAGATTCAGAGGCGACAGAGACTGCATAAATCGATGACGTAAATGGCATTTTTTTTTTGAAAATGTCTAGACTAGTTTAAACCACACCCACAACTTTAATCACATCCACATCTTTAAACCAATGCCCGATTTTAAAACCATATCCACATCTTTAACCATATCTTTAACCACATCCACATCTTTAACCACATCTTTAACTACATACACATCTTTAACCACATCTTTAACCATATCTTTAACCACATCTTTAACCACATCCACATCTTTAACCACATCTTTAACTACATACACATCTTTAACCACATATTTAACCACATCTTTAACCACATCTTTAACCACATCTTTAACCACATCTTTAACAACATCTTCAACCACATCCACATCTTTAACCACATCTTTAACCACATCCACATCTTTAACCACATCTTTAACTACATACACATCTTTAACCACATATTTAACCACATCTTTAACCACATCTTTAACCACATCTTTAACAACATCTTCAACCACATCCACATCTTTAACCACATCTTTAACCACATCCACATCTTTAACCACATCTTTAAACACATCCACATCTTAAACCGCCACCACATATTTAACCACATCTTTAACCACATCTTTAACCACATCTTTAACCACATCTTCAACCACATCCACATCTTTAACCACATCTTTAACTACATACACATCTTTAACCACATCTTTAACCACATCTTCAACCACATCCACATCTTTAACCACATCCACATCTTTAACCACATCTTTAACCACATCCACATCTTTAACCACATCTTTAACCACATCCACATCTTTAACCACATCTTTAACCACATCTTTAACTACATACACATCTTTAACCACATATTTAACCACATCCACATCTTAAACCGCCACCACATATTTTAACCAATGCCACATTTTAAAACCACATCCACATCTTTAACCACATCGACATCTTTAAACTACATTCGCATCTCTAAACCACAGCAACAAAATCGACATTTTTTATACGCCCCAGACAAACCACAGTATCGCCAGCAGTATTTACACACCTTTGCCAAAAATGCTTACAAATAATAACACCTATTTTGTTTCAAGCCTCTCTCAGATCCTTGTTTTCAATGTTTACTAGATCTTCGACTAAATACATTTGCATTTTAATTTCACGAGTTAACTCAACATTAAAAAAAAAACTGTGAATTTTACAATAAATATTTATTTGCGATCAGGCTCCGATTATTAAAAGAATTAAAAATACTATTTTTATATTTTTCGCGTCACCAGAACGAGACTGTTCTATTTTTAATCTTTATATACAATTTTTTTCGACAATTTTTAGCTAACCCCAAGTAGGCCCTACCATGGCGAAAAACACCCAGGTCATATTTCCGACCATAAAATTAATCACACAACAATTTCATTTTGCCAAGTACTTGTTAAGGAAAACCAAACTATAGGCCTACACCCTTGCTGTGAGCATTTTTAAATTGGAGTTAAAACAATCTGGTTCTGTGAAGGCGATATTGTGATGTGTCAAGGGAAACAACCGAACATTTATAAACATTGGATTACTCCGCTTGCACGGCTGGCATCCCAGGTTTTTACTGTATTTCATTTGGCTTCTTTGGGCAGCAATGGCGGCTGGTTAGGTGAAAACTCTGATTTCGTTGCGAAAAGAAATATTTATGTTAGAAATTTAGACTTAGAGGGGAATATATATATATATATATATATATATATATATATATATATATATATATATATATATATATATATATATATATATATATATATATATATATATATATATATATGTCTTTGGCACTCGCTGCTTAACTAAAATCAACGTAACAGCCAACTTAGACTTACATATTGTCCTGGGTAATATTCTCCGAGATAAGTAAAGCTGTCATCTGCTTCATCACTGCACGTCAGTTGGATGTATGTGTACCTGTAGTCATGGATACAGTAGTCATGGTCACCGTGGTCATGGAAACAGCAGTCGTGGTTATAATGGTCATGGAAACGGTAGTACTAGAAACGTGGTCGTCAAGGTGATTAGCCATTGGGCGTCGTCAAGTCGTGTGTCGGCTACATGCCACGTGTCTGTCGTGTGTCTCCATTTTTCTACTTCTGTGTCGCTGTGTCAGTGTTACCTGTTGTACCCCCCCCCCCCTCATATACCTGCAGTAGTAATGCAGGTAAGACACACCTGTCAGTATTACCTGATATACCCCCGCATATCTCTGCTGTAGTAATGCAGGTAGGCCACGCCCAAGTCGTCTTGTAGAAACGAGGCTGACCTTTGTGTACCGAGGCTGTAGTACACACCTGAGAACGCCTGATACTGACACACCTGGATAACACCGGTGATGAAATTAACAACACACCTTCCTTATACTAACACACATTGTACACACATATGCTAATGAATACAATACATGTATTGATCCCAACACACTTTGAAAACATGTGTATTTACTGTTTGTTCCAGATTTTTTTCTCCGGGGGGGGGGGGGGGGGGGGGGCACTTGACATTTTTCGGGGGGGGGGGGACACTGGTAAAAGTATATATATATATATTCTCTATATAAATTCCATTTCTTTGGGGGGGGGGTGGCGGTAGACTTTCTTCGGGAGAGCCACCCCCCCCCTATATGAGATGCCTGGAAGATACTCTGTGTGTGTTGATATTAACAGAACTAACACAATTTGAATACATGTACTAATACGAACCCACATGACACAGCTGATAGTAGTACACCATCGACATATGCACACCCCCAAAAAACGCCTACCGTGTTTTTCGTGCCAATAAAGGAATCTAGAATTAATTTACGCACGCAGTTGTATGTTATGTTGGTGATGGCTTTGATACAATCCAAAGAGCACATGACAAATCCAAACAACATCACGTGATACACAAAACATTGGCTCATCACAGACTAAACCAACACAGACGTCAGCACAAACCGAGACGTTGGCACATCCTCCGTAGGTAAAGTCGTAGCAAGGGTTGTAGGCGAACTCGAAGTTGGGGTCTCTGAGGATCCATCTACAAAGGTAAACAGGGCAAAATCTAGGCGCAGACTCGCATACAACATACACATGTGTGTAGGCATTTCCATATTAAATAGGGGTATTGAAATTTAACATTTTCAAAATAATTTGGTGTTTTGTTCTTCAGATTTCTTTGTTGTAAATTGTAATGTAAATTATTGTTAATCCAAGTTTGTTCATGCAAATTACTTGTGAATATTCAAATTAAAAAAAAATTAACGTTCTACCAAGATGTATATAATTGTGCACTAAAATTACTAAAAGGAAAAAAAATGTTTTTCTTTGAAATAATTAACCACTATTTAAATAAATAAAAGCGTGGGTAGCTAATTTATATATTACAAGTATCCAGTCCATAACACAGCGACCCAACTAACATGCCAGGCACAAAGGTCAAGGCCCACTCACCGAGGGCTACCCTGCTTAGCCAGGGGAGACAAGTCGATCACTGTTCCGTTGTGTAGGACACATGTGCAGGGACTAGTCTGTGTACAGAACGGTACTTGAGCGACTGAATGCAAACAGAACACAACCAGTAGATAAATAAACGGCCACATCCTGACAGCTACCACATGACCATCGTGTGTAGTCCACTATTTCTTATCTTTTAGCAACAACCAACCGACAATACCATGTGTTGTTTCTTGCTATCTGACTGTGTCAGCATTGTCAACAACTGTTTTGTTTCCAACCTTGGAGCAAGTTTTTTAAGTTGCACAGCAATACCTTTAAATATAGAACTGACCACAAACACTAAGCCTAAGATAAGAACAAACAAGCTGATTTGAACAATACAAAGATTTATTAATTAATTCAACAAACAATACATATAAAGTCCTGCATGTTTGAAATATTTGAGGAAAAACTCCATTTTGGCTCACACTACAATAGGCCGAAAAATTTAAAAAAATAAAATCTGTATGTTAACAGAAAACAAGCATTTGTAATTTGACAAAGTTTTTAAAAAATGCTATGTATGACAAAATAAAGCTAATCATCAAATACAACTACCACCAAATGATGGGGCTATGATCCTACAACTTGATCCATCTAAATAAACACAACAAGGAAATTGTCCAACATATGCATGCAGTCATAATGTTAAACCAACCCTTATTCAAATTGGTTAACTTTGCTTGTTTAAGTTATAAGGGAGGGGGCAATAAATTATAAATATACATAACATATGCATGACAAAATGCATTTAAATTAAAATAAGTTATCTACAATTCAGGAAATGTAAAAAAAAAATTTACAGTTAAAATTGGGAGGGGTGGTGGTAGATAATTTGACAACTGAAAAATAGCATTCCTGTCTATAAAGCTAAGCCTTTTCTTTATGCCTGCATGACTGAATATGTTGTAATAGGAAAAAAGGTACGTCCCAGCCAGCTAGTTACAAAAAGAGAAAACACAAACTTTATCAAATGCAGAAAAAATAATGGCAGTCTATGTGAAAATAAAAAATTGTTAATTGACGTGTTCAGTGGCCAGACAATCGAGCCGAGGATCTACGTGCATGCCAGCAATGATTTCATGAGTTCAATGATTCAAACAGGGCATTGTTCTTTATTTTCAGGCATTTTTCTGTTTCCACTTTTAAAAGATGAATGTTAACAATCTTGTGACCTCAGCAGGGAAATTTATTTTACTTCAATAGACAACAGTCTTTTAGTTTATAAAAATAATCTTTATAAAATGATATGCACAAGGTAAAAAAAAATTGACTATACACAACTGTACAAAAGAATATATTGAACTGGCAGCTGACAAATTCAACTGGATCAACTGGCCAAGTGTCAGTGCTCATGTCTCTCTACAAGCATAGGCAGGATCCAGTCTAACAGTCAGGCACATCTTTTTTAGCTATCATTTTCTTTAAAAGGTTAAGAAAATACATCTAGTAAAATTTCTTCACTATTGGCAGAAACATTATGTCTATAATCACATTCGTGGTTAAAAAATGCATACAAAAAAAATAAATAACATTAAGAAAGAATCTTGCATACACCAATTCTTGAGACAGCCCAAGTATTCTACAAAAATAACCTTTGAACAGTCAAATACTCCCAAAAACAATTTTTTTTCTATTTAAAATCAACCCCCCTCTAAAATATTGCTTTTGTAAACACTACCTAGTTTTTTTAAAGTAACCTATTAGTTAAAACAGTAGTTAATAGACACACTGATTCAACCCCAGCTATCTTTTACACTTTCATCAAACTAGAAAATTGATCAAGAAGAAATAACAAAGTGCTGCCTTGTAAAGTATTCTACAGTCCTTAACTTCAAACATTCTCTTGGTGATTTAGGTGCTGCTTGAGAAAACAATTGCACAAGACTGCGGGTGTGGGGGGGACAGTTGCCGAGAGGTCTCTATAGAATGTCAACCTTATCTGAATTAGCCCTTCATTAAAAAAAAAAAAGTTCTAAATGACAACAATGTGATTAGTAGTAGTTGCGAGTGAGTAGCGTCTTTGTCTCTCTGTGAAAGCTGGACAGGGTTAATCAGTTTTTTCTTCTCTTTGTACATAATCATTATAATCATTAAGAAAAACACGAGAAACGTCAATTGAATTAACCACTGAATGAATACGTCATTTATAGCTTTATATTTACCAACAAACAAACTCGAGGTGCTACCACCAATGTCCATGTCATTACAATTGTAGGTCTATGGCTAATTGGTCGGTCGCTTGCATTATCTCTGGTCCCCTCCGCCCATGGAGGCAAGTGAGGACTACGGAAAAATACATTTCCGCGGCGGTTTGTGCTGACCTCAACAAACACACAAGAAAAATAAACAAGACGAGGTCGTTTCTTGTCACACACCGCCAGAGATCCCCATGTGCTATCCTCTCCTACCTGCAAGGTAAGCAACAACAATTCATAATTAAACAGTCCAAAATTAATAATATAGATTTAAATTTTTAGAAAAGTAAAAGCTTAGTTATGTTTAAATGAATGAGACTTACCTATCCCCACCTTCCAAAGGTTCAGAGGACTGGTTGTCTGTTTTGTCGCTACGGGAATCTCCACCCCTACGTCTAGGTGGACGGTCATTGTTGGCCATCTCAACCTGAATAAAAGTCAGGATAAATCTTTTGAGCTTCGTACTACAAAAACAAATTATTGTTATATAAAAAAATATTTTTTGAATATCTCATAGAAATATTGTCAGACCTACCTTGACTTCTCTTCCATCCAATTCTTTGCCTCCCAGAACATCTACAGCTTCTTTAGCAGTGTCTGTGGTCTGAAAGTGAAGGAACGCAAATCCACGAGCACCACGCCACACTAGTCGAAGAGGGTTGACATTAAGAGCTCTCAATTCTGTTTTCAGCTCACTGACACGAAGGCGACGAGAAAGTCCTCCAACCCATACAATTGCATCAGGGTTAGTGCGGAACCTTTGACGCTGGGGACGACGGCCTGAAAATAAGTGAAAGAAACTATGCATCTTCAGGAAAAAGAAATGGTTCTCAAGCTGTTCTCGCTAGCTTAGAAAAATATTTTCCTTCATGCAATCTAACTTTATAGAAACAAAGCATACCAACAAAGCATGAGCAGGAAAAAAAAAAGTACTCACTTTCACCTTCTTCATCTCCAGATGTCTTTTGCTCACCATCACTGCCAGAATGATCTCCACCAGCACGATTGTCTCTTCGACTACCACCATCATAGCGGCGTCTGCGCTGGAAGCGACGGCGGTTAGGGAATCTAAAATAATTATATTCAGTTTTCAACACATGTAATGACAATTAGCAGATTTGAGAAAACTTGTTTTTACAAACTAGGTACTCACCGGCGTTGACGATTTTTGTCTTCGCCATCTCCCTGGCCACTTTCGCCACCTCCATCACTATGTTCAGACTCTGAGGCACGAGGTTTACCACCACGACGGAATCTTCTGTTGCGATAGTTCCTGCGCCTTCCTCTGCCATCATTGTCTCCATCAGCACCTGACTCATCCCCAGTTTCAATATTCTCTTTGTTACTGTCATCTCCACCCTCCCTACGACGACCACCTCCGCGTCTGTACCTAGCAAAGTTAAAATATAGGTTTATCGTCTTTTAAAATATCAGTTTGATAAAACTAATTTTTAAAAATTAACAACTGTATCAAACAAAGCACTGGTAGAACCTAACCAACAAGTAAAATGTGCATCAGGTAAATGAATCACCATGTATTTCAGTATTACGTCCCATTTATCTTCATCACTTGCACAGCTAAAATCTAAAATGTAACCACCTGTAAGGTCTTCCACGTCCTCTATATCCTCCACCTTGTCCACCAAAACGTCTGTACCTACGAGGTCGCGGTGGCTCTGCGTTCTCTAAGGGATCATCCTCTTCATTTTCTTGTCCCTTCAAAAAGACATTCTTTCCTGCATCTCGTTCAATGTCACGCAGTTGTTTCAGAACAGGAATCTGTTAAAAGTTTTAAAATGGCTAGAGAACAATAGTACCCACCAAATTAGAAGCTAAATTATATATTGCAACATTAAGATGCAAAACATTTTTTTACTATGCATCAGATAAATGAATCAACAATTATTTCAGTATTACGTCCCATTTATCATCATCATATGCAAAAACAAGTTTGGTTTTTAAATGGCACTAGAAATTCAACAAACCTGAAAGAATTTGTTGACTTCAAGGTGACTCCAAATGACCCCTGTTGGCTTGACTCTACTGTTCTTAGTTTCAATAAGTTCATTTGGTGTCAAAATGAAATCCACAGTCATATCATGTTCATCAACCTAAATGAAGTGCAAGTATGTTTTAAGACACAAACTTTTAAAAAGTTGGCACCGAAAGAAAAAAAACAAGTGCATCAGATTAATGAATCAACAAATAGTATCAGTATTACGTCCCATTTATATCATCATTTGCACTTGTAAGTTTACAATGATAATAAAAAATTATTACATCTGATACTGAAATGTAAAACTGGCACAATGTATATTAGATTATGAGTAAAAATTATTGACTTTGTTCAAATGGAAAAGAGAATGTATGCAGATAGGTCCAACATACCAATTCCTCAGGGATATCCACTACTTGAGAGTCATGGACAGAAGTGACGACAACAGTGTTGGCATCAATTGCACCCATGGTTCTCATCATTGAATATTCCAAGTCAGCAAATCCCTTACCCTTGCCAATACGATAACCTTAAAAACAATTTCATTTATACAAAAACCAAATTTCAATAATGTAAAAACATGACAGTGCAAGCAATTAGGACTGGTCTTACAAGATAATAAGACTAATTGACAGATTTAGTTGTACAATATTAGCTTGATATGCCTACCCTTTCTAGAAACTGCCACACTGCCAACAATAATCAAATCAATCTTGACTTTTTCATCCAGACCAATCTCTTTACTGTTTTCTTTAACTCCCTTGAAACAAAATGTTTTTAAATTAAATGTGCAATAAAAAATCAGTTATTGTTATAAATTAAATTAACCTATTATATCTTACCTGAGAAGTACAGCAGTAAATTAAATTAACCAATTATATCTTACCTGAGAAGTACAGCAGTGGCGAAGCTTTTCCTTATCAGATCCCTCTGGGGGGACAACTCTATTCAAGAGACCAGTTCTTAGTTGTGGTGTGGGCACCATCAAATTACGCTGTGTCTATCAAAAACAGAATTATACGCTTTAACAAATACATAGCAGCTGGTAAAATAAAAGTTTAAAAAATAATGAAAAAAATAGCCACTTAAAACCTGCATCTTTAAAAATAGCATGCAAGACACTATTAAAATGTCTTGTTAAACCCAACAGTGATCTAGCATTAAAAAACGTGTGAGTATGGCTAATCAATAAGATTCAATGCTTATTAAATACCTGATTCAGCAGAACAAGTTCTTTTCCAGCCTAAGAAAATAAAAAATAACACTCAAAACAATATGAACAATAAGAATTTTTTCTGTAAATTCAGTAACTGACAACTCAAAGCTTTATGAAACCAAACCTAACAATGAATAATTTGAAAATAAATGAAAAATTTATTTTGGGAATGTACAGTACATTCTTAAATACAATTTACTTTTAACTCAATATTTAAATTTGTATGGAAATGTTAGGTACACATACCTCCAACACTAAAAACCTTGCTTGCTCCTGTGGTTTATCAGGATTAACCTTAACAGTCTTTGCTTTCTTGAATGCTTCAAGTTGAAGTAGTTTGTCATTAGCAGCAGAAGCCCCCTCGAAATTAGGTATGCGGTAATGGCAGGGTCTTGGTACATTCACCAGATTATTTTCTTCCAAATAATCCCAAATCTTGCGTCTAATGGCCCATTTTCCAGTTTCTAATAAAGTAAAATGATTTTAACGAAGATTCTCAACAGGATATTAAAAATTATTTTCATTATCACAGAATCATAATGGCCAAGCTAGCAACAAATTAAATTGCATTTAAAAAATGTCCTACAGCTAAATGAAATTAGCCAACAAACCATCTTCAGGATGTATTTCACGGCGAAATGGACGTCTACGCTGACGATTTCCACGATCCTTGTCTGGGGACTCTTCATCAGCAGTCGGCTTTACGTTTTCAATTTTGGCCTCATCATCTGGGCCTTGTGCAGCAATAGCATTATTATTCTCCATGCTTTTAACTCAGGTGCTTATATTCAGCCACAGTCTGCGTCTCCACCAGTTGGAGAGATTTCTGGGCACTTCTTTTCTGAAAAAAAATTGCATGTAAGTACTATGTTATGTTATTTCCATTTCTTATAGCAAGTTACCTTTTATAAGCTAATTAGCCACCATTATGATTATTCTCAAAAAATGCATTGAAACTTTAGCACATTTATTGATAGTTTCTGTTAAGGAATAAAGTGGCCAGCACTATGCCCAACCGCCTGCAATTTCCCTAACAGTCAGAAACCCATCACAGCTGGTTGGTCAGGGACATTATTCAAACTCAAAATTTACAGGTTAGCAGTCACATGGCTCTACCATAATTCCTCACCTACTATACAGGTTTAGAAAATATATGTGCTCAACTTACGAAATAAGTAGATAAGTGATCCAATAAGCCTACTTGTAATAGCATTATTAGGGAGAAGACAAGATAAGTACTATTAGTTTTGTGCAAGTTCAGAGTGAAGTGAACCAAAGTTCAGGACCTACTATAAAAAAATGGATCTGTACTGTTAAGTTTCTGAAAAAAATCTATTAGACCTGGTTATGCTGTATTAAAGATTTACCCAAAATTATTTAGCAGGTATCAGTATCACATCAATAGCTCACTCGAATTGCTTAAAAAAACTTTAAGTAGCTAAAAACATCAATCAAACAATCTACTGCCAGAAAGAGTGTTACCTTACTAAAATTAGAACAAATATTTAACAAGTGGACTTATCGGCTAAAAGAATTAGGCCTTGGAGGCTTATGCATCAGATAAATGAAGCAACATTTATTTCAGTATTACGTCCCATTTATCATCATCATATGCAAAATCTGTGTTTGTAGGTGGTCTTACTAAATTTTAAATTTCTTTCCTCTCCATAGCACAATGCATTATATGAAAAGAATTTCAGGCCTGAACTGACTACACATATATTTATAATGCATTTTGCAAAAATATGAAGCCTAGACCTATAAAGAATCACTTTATATTTCACATAGTACTAAAATACAAAATGATAAAACCAAAAATTGTTGGCAAACTAAAATAAATATTTCTTTAAGTTCTGTACAAATAATATTCAAAAGCTGACTGCCCAGACTAATATTAATAAGCAAATCATAACACGCAACTGAAATTCTTTCAAGCAGGCGGCTTAGTGTTATTAAATAAGGAACTTCAGTGAAACAGTAGGGTCCATTTTTGTCAGGTGACCTCTAACCCCACTAGTTTTTAAGTTTTGTAAGGTTATTCACAATCTGCAAAAAATAAAATGTCCATGCAGTTAATCCAAAATTAAGAAAAGCTATTTGTTCTCTGTAAAACTGAAGCTATAGGTCTAACTAACATATTTAGGTCTCTAAAATATTTTGAATATCTACTCATAGGCCTATTTATTGTATAAAAAAGGCTCCTTTATTTTTTACTAAACATGTAGGCCTGGCTGGCAAAGTGTTGACCACACATCCCTTCATAGATCGCTAGGTCTAAAGAGGAATCTTTACTATTTATATAGTCCTAAATCATTTGATACTTTTACTTTGATTAGTTTACAAAATGAAATAGAAGGCGAGTTAGGCCTAAAACAATTTGATTTATTATAGGCCTAAATAGGTATGTAGGCATAGGCTGTCTGACACATCATGATAAAATACACAGGAAACCAAAATAAACATCAGGCTTCCATAGTAGGCCTAGATATATAGAGGGTCTACTATTTACTGCCATGTAAAATTTGTAGTGACACTGCTTTTGCTATTTTCAGGAGCCATGAATTGATTAGTTTTTAAAACTGTTTTGTTAACTTATAGGCCTACCTTGCAATAGTATAAGACAGGTTAAATTAGGAATTAGGCCTATAGCCCCTATAAATTAAAATTTAGGCCTAATGAAAGTCAGTATCTACTTTATTTCTTAATTAAAAACCCAAGTCACAGATTTATCACAAGGAAAATCTTCCATACGATTTCTTAAGTCTTTTAGGCCTAATTTTTAACATGGGATACCAGCTGTGTTTATCACAAAAGGTCCAAGTTCAAGAGGTCATTTCTGCTCTTCAGCTGTAAGACAAGACTAGAAATCTAGACCTAATAGGCAAATAGCAATTCAGTTAGCCTCAATATTTAATGTCTTAGCCTATGTTTAGTTTAATCTAAACTAATTGGGTCTACTTATAACGAATAGTAGATTCTAGATCTAGTTATTTTTTTCTAGATTATAAATTGAATTTAGATCCTAGCTAGGGTCTAGATGTATAGTGAAGTAGATGTAGCTAGATCTAAGACAAGACTAGTCTGAGTAACTCTGCCTACACCAACAACGTGTCAACCTACTAACACCAGTATAACTCTCACTTTAAATAGCAATTGTGCTGTTATTTGTTAGTAATAGTAACTAGATCTAGATTTTATGTGCATACATTAGTCCATTCATGTCAAATTTTAAGTAATTAAATCAGTAGGCCTAGGTATTTGAGCAATAGGAAGCAACCTGACATGTAGACGGCAATTAATGTCACCGTGGCAAGCACAGCATCATTCCTGACATAGATCTAGATCTACTGTCTTATTAAAATGAACTGAAATTGAAACACTATGCCAAAAATCATGTTTCTGGGGCAGTCGTGAGGGACATTTTTGTTTGCAACCAGGACTTGTTTCAGGGGCATATATTTAAGGAAAAAAATAGGTGAATAAATATTTAAATTCTTTGGCTGGAGAGTCTATGCTTTGGTTATCACTCTGTCAAAGTGAAAGTTACAAAATTGAGTTATGGCCTAAAGTCTCAAGTAGGCTAATGGTTGTTTGGAACTGGCAGAAGTAGAGTTGATCTAGAAATAGAGTAAAGTTCCACGCGCGGTTAAAACACCGGTGCGGTCATCGCCTGTTTATCGCTTAGTACAATATTTGTTTTGATGTTTTATACGAAACTACCGATATCTGCTGTAAACCTGTCCATTTCTAAATATATCCAGGTCAAATTCTTTTGTTTTTCTCCTCCTGGAAGTCGAGTTTTTAAATTTTAAAGTTTCGAGGTATGACGTCGAAGGCGATTCTAGTTCCCCGTATGAAAAACACTAGGTCCCGGATGAGATGAATAAACCAACCAATCAAAGCTTTTTATAACTAGGTTAACTATAAATAGCTTCTACAATATGTGCGGGACACTGTACATACGATAGATTAGGCTAATAAAGCAACCTGATAGGTGAATAGGGGTGGCCGCAGCTTGGGTGTCGATTTGGGTGGTTTCACCGCGCTGCGTAACCAACGACTTGAGCTAGACTAGCCTAGTTCTAGATGCTCTACATTTCAAGCTAAGCATAGAATCTGTATAATTTCTATTTTTTTCTGCTGTTTTAAATTATTTCGATCATCTACTTCTTCTAAATCTAGTTTGTGTCTCTACATACAAGCATATCTAAGCAAATGTTACGTTATGTCTTGTCAGTGGTTGTTACGTCCCTTTGTTATGATTATTATAGTTGCGTCCCTTGAGTCATCACTGGGTCAACTTTTAATGTCGTTAATTAATTTAATTAACATGTTTTTAATTTGGTTTTGAAATCTTTTAATTAATAATACAATCAACAACACGTTTAAAAGTGTAAAATATTTATTTTATTTATTAAACTAGGATTAAAACGTATAAAACACGATCGTTACGCAAGCCGGTTCAGATGGCCGCAGGGAAAAAAAAAGAGGGGAAAAAAATATCGCAAGTAGCACGTCACTAAAACATGAATATCTCAAATTCAATGCGTAGGAATATAAAATGATTGATACATATTAAGAGTAGAAAGGCAGAGGAATAATATAGTACTTTGGGTTTGTTTCTGTGTTAAACGGTTACAAAATAGCGCCCGATGAAAGTCGGGAGTTCGCTATGTGTGACCGCGCGTGGAACTTTACTCTAGATTCTAAAATCCAGCTTTGATCTATTCTAATTTTAAATGTTACGCCTAAGTTTCATCCAAATTTTAAATTTTTAGAACAGTACAAGACGAGATTCTAAATCTAGATCTAGATCTAATCATTATTGGTAGATCTAGATCCTAGATTTAGAATCTACCACCGGCACGCCGCCCACGTTACTGTTTCCTTTCTGTGTACGGCGTACCAGTTTCTGGTCTACGCGTGTCGAGTTGTGCAATACTAGACAAGTTACAACTGCTCGGTCGATAAATTATGGATCTAATAGAATCAAAATAGTAGCACCATGCTTTAGATCTTATACTTATGCAAGTGCAAACGTTAACAACCACAAAATAAACGTGCTAAGTTGATTATTTTAAGGTATAAAAAGTCATACTTAGCGTGGAGAAGTGACTTGACGGTCGCGGCCACGTTAGTAGGTTTACAATTTAGAAAATATGGAGTGATCGGAACAAGGGATTTTGTTCTAAACGAAAAACGAAATATCAACTTAAGTTTTTTAAAAACTGTATAGGCTAACAGGCCGAGGCAAAGATTTTAATTTGCAACATAAGGGAGGGGGTGTAAACTGTAGATTTCTATATTATGCGCGTACCGATAAAACTATACATTTTAACAACAAAACATTTGAAAGACCATAACTCACGTTAGTAATAATTTTAAAATAGGATCATGTTATTGCATATTAACAGAAAGCAGAGTCACTTTCGAATAATCAAATGGTTTTTTTTAATGTCTTTTGCTATGGGCCCTTTGTTCAAGGTTGTATTACCACTTTGACAGTTTACAATACCAGCAACGAATCAGAAAATTAGGACTGCATTGTGATGTCATGTTTTAACAATATTTTTAAATTAATTCGATTTATATTATGATGAATAGGCTACATAGATCTAGATCTAATATAGATCTAGAATAGATAGGCTCCTGTAGATCTAGAATTATAGTCTATAGTCCACTCTAAGCCCTGCTTACAAGCTATACTTCTCTGCCTTACATCCAAATTGACCAAATATTATAAATGCTACTATATTAATAGATGTAAATTTAGCTGCTATATTTGGATCTAATCTAGATCTAGTACTAGACTAGGTATCTAGATTTCAAGTGTATTTAAATTTCTACAGTTTTATTTTACTCAAAATAACAAATTATCAATTTTGTTCCCAAGGTTTCAAACGTTCCGCTTGCATTTATACTTGCAAAGCCTTATTATTTTTATTAAATATAGATTCTACATATCTAAATAGACTATGTATTTAGAGGTAAATACCTGGTGCCTTGGTGTATTCTCAGTTCAGTTACAAAGTCCCTCTCCTCACCATAATCAGAACCGATTTGAATATTTTTTAAAATCTTGTCAGAAGTTAAAAGGAAAACTTGGCTACAGATGCATATGTACGTCCAAGTTTGAAAATGGTCGCAGCACGGGTATAAACTGTTGAATTCTTTTTCGTTTGACTGTCCTTTACTGTTCAAATTTTAGTCCATGAAACCGTGACGTTGATGCGTTTCTAGGGCACCTGACGTCATAATGATGCACCAAGTGTTCATTAATAGCGCACTTTAATTTGTTCCTGAAGAAAATAAATTTTAAGTGTCCGGCTTTTTCCTCTTGCTAACTTTCTGATATGTTTGGTGTGCAATTTTGACAACAGTCGAACATCTCAGGTAGAGTCGCGAATTTGTCACCGTAAGTGCAGGTGAGAATCTATCTAGTTGCATCTAAACTAGGCAAGGTTAGGCTCCTTTAAAGATACATTTAACAGTAACAATGCTTTTTTTTTTAAATGCATACACCGCACACAGGAAAATAAATCAGCCCGAATCGGCCTACCGAAATACTTTATTTCTGCAGATCTTTACTAACGAATCTGGAAACATAATAAAAGGCGTACATAATATTGGCATCACTCTCTCTCTCTCTCTCTCTTTACCTAAATGTGGTTTTATCTACTAATCCAGTATATAACATTATAACATAGTCTATAATTTTGAATGAAATAAAAAAGAGCAAACTGTTTCAATCTGACCATGATAAAAGTTAAAACCATAAATAGCTGCTTTCAAAGTACTCCTTTGCCGGAAACCACTATTAAAAGGCAACAACGACATCAGACAGAAGACCTGCCATCCCTCGGCTGTAGGAAATGAAGAGGGGGTGATGGGGCTGGGTAGGGCGTATCTGCATCCATCAGCATCACAGGGTAGGACATATCAGCATCACAGGGTAGGACATATCAGCATCACCGGGTAAGACATATCAGCATCACTGGGTAGGACATATCAGCATCAAACAGCATCACTGGGTAGGACATATCAGCATCAAACAGCATCACTGGGTAGGACATATCAGCATCAAACAGCATCACTGGGTAGGACATATCAGCATCAACCAGTATCTTCAGGGAGAGACAAATGGAACCCCAAAGCCTTCATTTTTTTTACACAATATAAGGAAATATTTGGACCATTTATATATATATATATATATATATATATATATATATATATATATATATATATATATATATATATATATATATATTTATATATATATATATATATATATATATATATACGACAGGCGGTGGGTCAAGAATGTAAATATAAATATAAAACATTTTTGTTATAACGAAAACTTGATTCTAAATCCACACCATTGGTTGGTTTGTTTTTGTTGCGTAACAATAACACTTTCTTAAGTTATGTAATACTTTATCCTAACAGCCCGGTATTATGTAATACTTTATCCTAACAGCCCGGTATTATGTAATACTTTAGCCTAACAGCCCGGTGTTATGTAATACTTTCTCCTAGCAGCTAGTGACACGCATACAGACAGGCAAAGTTTTAAAACTACGACATGGCTTTTTGACACAGGAATGATAAGAAACGTATTTTTAAAATTAGACCCTTAATCACGTGATGCCTATGTTCAAGCTACCCCAACCTAATCACGTGATGCCTATGTTCAAGCTACCCCAACCTAATCACGTGACTCCTACGTCCAAGCTACCCCCACCCTAATCACGTGATGCCTATGTTCAAGCTACCCCAACCTAATCACGTGATTCCTACGTCCAAGCTACCCCCACCCTAATCACGTGATGCCTATGTTCAAGCTACCCCAACCTAATCACGTGATGCCTATGTTCAAGCTACCCCAACCTAATCACGTGATGCCTATGTTCAAGCTACCCCACCCTAATCACGTGATGCCTATGTTCAAGCTACCCCCACTATAATCACGTGATGCCTACCACCGTTACCACATTTTACCCACCACTCCACGGGCCGGACTAAAGATGAGACCACCCACTGATCGCGATAAGAGAAACGTAATGGCCTCAAGTTGACCATACCTGGCCTTCGTATCACAGGTCATGCAGTTCACATTTCATCGGGCAGACAAGTTGACCATACCAGAGGCGTAGCGACCCTTCCCGGCGCCCGGGGACAAACTTTTCGATTTGCACCCCCCCCCTCAAACTTTCGATTTGCACCCCCCTTAACCTTTCAATTTATTTTTCCAACCCATTTTGGCGCCCCCAAGGTCGGCGCCCGGGGACATATGTCCCCCCCTGCCCCCCCCCCCCCTCGCTACGCTACTGGACCATACAGGTGATGCAGTTCACATACATAGGGCAGACAAGTTGACCGGGGAACCCGAACATTACCTGGCCAATTAGGTTTATCTGGCAGCCTAGTTGACTCCACTTGAGTCACTTTAAACAGTACAAGTCAAAACACAGTAGCGTACACACTATAGTAAAGTTAATTAAGTTCCCTTTCAAACTAACGGTCTATGGGGCAAGTGAAGCAGAGTTAACTTGTTTCTGTGACCTCGGCATATGAAGGGATAGTGTGGTCAACACTATGCCTAGCCGCCTTTACTTTCCCATCAGAGTTTGGTAGACTCAGGGACGGTCTACTGACTTGAGCCCGGATTTAAACTCGAGACTTACGGGTTAACAGTCCAGCTCTCTACCGCTAGACCACTCCGTCCCCCCGTACACACTCTACTAACTACGATTCGTTGACCCAGACCATGTTTTCTTATTTTGAGTTTTGCTACATCTCTGTATATCTCTGTATAATTCGCTGTATATCTCGCGAATTTACCGTCAGATCACTACCGCCATTTTTGTATCGTTTAATATTAGATGCAACTGACATATTTTTGTTACTTAACTCGCTAAACTTATGCTGACGTTACTAATCAGCCCAACAACACAGTGGGTTTTAAGTCGAAACGGTTGGTTTAAAGAAAAAAAAAAAGATTTTAAAAATTCACTTTCGTTTTCGGTATGCGTTGTTCAACAGTGAAATCGATGGATATTTCCATAGTAAGCAGAATGTTTTAGAGAGTATGTGAAGGCGTTTTATTGTGCATGTTTTATGGGGCACACACAGTGTTATCGTGCGCGCTTCACTGCTCAATCTAAATTATCACCCCTGTTTAATTGTTCGCACAATTGTATCTCCCTTGTTCCATAGTTCACACTATTTTATCTCCCTTGTTCATACAATTGTATCTCCCTTGTTCCACCATTCAATGGAAGCAAGGGCTGCGGACTTGCGTGAATCCAAAGAGAGCCCCAAAAAACCTTGTCCTCTAGAGAGGTGTAGCTGTAGCCCTTAGCTCCCCAGGAGCATCACACGATTTAGTCAAGTGTTTAATTGTTCACGCAACAGTATCGTTCCTGTTTGATGATTCACACAATTTATCTCTCCTGTTTAATGTTTCACACAATTTATCTCCCCTGTTTAATGGTTCACACAATTTATCTCCCCTGTTAACTCCCCTGTTTTAATGTTTCACACAATTTATCTCCCCTGTTTTAATGTTTCACACAATTTATCTCCCCATGTTTCACACAATTTATCTCCCCTGTTTAATGGTTCACACAATTTATCTCCCCTCATTAATGTTTCACACAATTTATCTCCCCTGTTTAATGGTTCACACAATTTATCTTCCCTCATTAATGTTTCACACAATTTATCTCCCCTCATTAATGTTTCACACAATTTATCTCCCCTGTTAAATGTTTCACACAATTTATCTCCCCTGTTTAATGGTTCACACAATTTGATCTCCCCTGTTTAATGATTCACACAATTTATCTCCCCTGTTTAATGGTTCACACAATTTATCTTCCCTCATTAATGTTTCACACAATTTATTTCCCCTCATTAATTTTTCACACAATTTATCTCCCCTGTTAAATGTTTCACACAATTTATCTCCCCTGTTTAATGGTTCACACAAATTTATCTCCCTTGTTTTAATGGTTCACACAATTTATCTAACCTGTTTAAATGTTTCACACAATTTATCTCCCCATGTTTCACACAATTTATCTCCCCTGTTTAATGGTTCACACAATTTATCTCCCCTCATTAATGTTTCACACAATTTATATCCCCTGTTTAAAACTGCTCACACCATAGTATCGCCTGAACTAAAACGCCCCATGTCCGGCGCCATCACGCTCTTCCACAGGAGCCGCCTCTAACAAATCACTCATCCTTTCTCCACGACCGTTGTTCAAAAAAAGACTTGAACATCTGCCGTCAGCGGCTAAGACGCTGAGCTAACAGCTTAACCCAGCGGCCATATTGATTCCTGGACCAAATCAAAACACTTTCTCTGCTGGTGGATATTGCTCATGTCACGTGATCCTATTGTTAATCTGAAATCTGCTGCGCCAAGAGCATTCCGGTGCTTTATTATTGGTCATTATATTACATACACGCGGGATATATATATATATATATATATATATATATATATATATATATATATATATATATATATATATATATATATATATATATATATATATATATATATATATATATATGACTAGAGTTTAAGGACCGTGTACGTATAAAATTGCGCATAAAGGAATATTGGGAGTTAATCATTGTTTTGTTTTGTTTTATATTGGGTGTTCTTTATTGGGTGTGACTACTTTCGTTTTATTTAAAGTCAGTTCTTGTGTTCACAACTGTTTCTCTATGCAAGTGCAACAATTGTAGTACACCATAATGTAACGAAAAAACACTTTTTGTAGTACCACATTGTTACATGATTTGTTTAAATGGATGTTTCCAAAAAATGCCACATGGAAATATCACATTAATCATTCCATGCGTGTAGGAGTCAGAAGACATCAGACTTTCAGAGCGTGTAGGAGTCAGAAGACATCAGACTTTCAGAGCGTGTAGGAGTCAGAAGGAATCAGACTTTCAGAGAGTGTAGGAGTCAGAAGGTATCAGACTTTCAGAGAGTGTAGGAGTCAGAAGACATCAGACTTTCAGAGAGTGTAAGAGTCGGGGTATCACAAACTTTCAGGGTTTGTAGGAGTCAGAAGGAATGAGACTGATATGAAAGGGGGTCGAACATACACAGAGTAAACAGTTCTGAGTGTTACATAACACGAACACGTGTGGCATAGCATAACAATGTCTTACATAATATGATGACGTGGTGCATTATGGAATAG